ATACCTTGAACTGGAAACTCCCTAAGACTCTGACGGAGAACCTTGACTAGGTCAATTGAAGGCAGCATACCTGTTTTCACCTAAGGACATATAATAGCTAGTTTAAAATCAACTTATTAGTATTACAAGTAAGCACAAAGCAAAAAATACAGGTCATATTTAATGGAGCCCAATATAAACAAGAAAGTTCATCAATTCAGCAGTGGTGTAATTCATCAGCTCTTTTCAATGTAACACCTATAATTACCCTTATCATAAGCAATTATATTTCATTGATGAACATAAGCTAACACATATTATCCAAAAAAGCTATATAAATTTTCATTACAAAACATTTAACAGAAACGTTTATCCTTGTCCTTCATTAAAATTTTACTCCTACATGATCAACAAAAAGCACTCATAAATCAGAAAACCTTTCATAGAAAATCAGCAATCAGTGATGAGACTCACCACATCGACTTGCATATCAGAGAGCACAGACTTCAACTGCACCGCAACAAAATCTTCAGGCACAATATTTACACCCTGACAATTACAAATAGCAGAGAATAACATCAGGAAATGTGTCATACCCCCCTTACCCAATCAGTAACACATCAGACCTTTTATTAACATGCAGTTCACATGGAACTTGATGTTCAACATTATTAATTTCTATATACAGAATACAAACAAAATATTATCATCATCTGATTCTTTATTTTATAAAAATACTATTTTGACAACACTGCCAGAATCTTGCATCCTGTTACCAGAGTTATTACGAGGTGAGTCATGCAAAATGCCTATGTTTCATAGTTTATACTAAAATTCTATTACTAATTAAAAATCATAAGGTTGCAATATGAAGCTTCATATTAACAATAAAAGTTGCTTGTTACCAATACTATTTCTGATATGAACAAATTTATTCATACCAAAAAAAAGAAACGTATTTCTTTTTCCTACTAATTAAGAGCAAAGCAAACAGAGTGTAAGCAATGCACAACCTGAACTCCGACGGTATTCTGAGCGGTCACTGCAGTAATAACAGTCGAACAGTAAACGCCACGCGCGGCGCATGCTTTAAGATCGGCTTGAATTCCGGCGCCGGCGCCGGAGTCGGAACCGGCCACAGTCAAGACATGTGGAATTTTCATCTTAGAATCGCTACTACCATCTCCTCCTTGTATTGCAACAAACGTTCGCGTTCTGTACCTCGAACTGGACAACTGTAAGCTCAAAAACAAGAAATTAGCGCCTGTTTGGCGGCCGAGAAAGTGCAGGAAAAGATAAGGTTGTAGTTCTGTGTGTAGCTAATAGTAAGATTCTCGTGAAATTTAAAAGTTTTATAAGAAGCTGAGCACGATGCGATAAATACAGTTGTTGAGTTTATATTTTAATCTTTTATTTTCGGTGTACCTTGTAGAAGGAGAAGTGAGAGGAAAGAACGCCCGAGAAGGCCATGTAAAGCAAGAGGCGCTTTCAAATTTTCATCTTCTCAAACAGATTAGGCCACGTTTTGTCTTTAGACTCTTTACTAATCTGCGTGAGTGAGTGTTATGGACCCACCCATACTAGAAAATACAAAATAATGGGAGTATTTTTAATTATTTAATTATAATTATTAGTGAAATTATATTAAATGGCACTATTTGTAGTCTTGAATTGAGAAGCAGCGGGCTATTTAGTAGATTATTTTTAAAATGTTATTTTAATTGCGTTAAGTTCAAATAAATCGAATTGGATCATATTTTAAAAATATGTTTGGTAAAATATCTTAAAAGCATATTTAAAATTTGATAAAATGTTGAATACATGTTTGACTTTGAAAATATTTTAGATTCTATTTATAACCCGTTATATTTGTTAATGCTAAACACCCCCTTTAATAAAAACTTAAAAGTTAACTAAAGCACTCTAACCATCCAAGAGGACAGTTGATCATCACTATCAGACGATAATCAACTGTAGCTGGAACAATGCACGATCGACTAGATTTGATCATTCGTGTGTCAATATGGTCGTTTCTGATTAGATCCATTGTGGATATAGTAAAAAATGGTCAAATCTATGATCAAATCAATGACCAGATCGACACACAATCGACTAGATCCAGTTGGTCATGCATCTTCCGACCACAATGATCAAAGTGGCCGTCGACAATGGGCAGCGACGATGGTCTAGAGTAGATTAATTTTCATATTGAAATGAGTGAAAGGTAGTTGTTTTTAATTGAATAGAATTGGAAAAATATTTTTTGTTGAATTGATGATAATATAAAAACAATTCCAAACCACTTTTCATTTTTGGACAAAAAATCCTATTTAATTTAGATTAATTTTCTAAATGAATTGATCTAATAGATAAACAAACATTTATTTTGTTTTTTAATTCAAATAAAATAACAAAATAATAATCCACAATAGTATAACAAAGGGGCTTAACCAGTCATTCTTTATTATAAATTTTTAATTAATATATGAAAAACTTAAACCTTTTTCTCCACAATTACTATTAATCCAGGAGAAGCTTAGTTGCAAATTGCAATAACGAATTTGATAGTTGTCAACATAACATCTATAAAAAAATGATCTTTATATTTATATTTAGTAAAATTTTACAAGCTTAGAGCATCTCTAATAGTGCTCTTTATTTTAAAGGGCATCTTCCATATAAATAAAGAGCATCTTGTTAATTTTAAAATATAAATAATACAATTTTTATTCAAATCTAATAGATTCTTTAAATTTAATGAAGATGCTCTTTATTTTTAAGAAAAAAACTTAATAGGAGAGAGAATTGATAAATAAAATGTATAAAAATTTGTAGTTTATTAATTAAAATTAGGATAAAGAGTGAAATTTGACTCTCTAAATGTGAAGAGTCAAACTCACTCTCAAATTTATATTTTAAAGATAAAGAGCTTGTTAAACTTTTGTTTTTATGGATAAACTTTTTATAATAGAGAGTTTGGGTCATATAAAAAGTCATTTGAAAATGCTCTTAGAACATCTTCAAGAGCATCTCCGAATGACTCTTTATATGATTTAAACTCTTTATTATAAAGAGTTTATTCATAAAAATAAGAGTCCAACAAACTCTTTATAAATATAAATTAAAGAGTGAATTTCACTCTCTACGTTTAAAGAATCAAATTTCACTATTTATCCTAATTTTAAATAATAAATTATAAATTTTTATACATTTTATTTATAATTTCTCTCCTATTAAATTTTTTTCTTGTAAAAATATATTCTCTCTCCTAAAATTTAAAAAATCTATTGGATTTGAATAAAAATTTTATTTTTAATATTTAAAAATCAATAAAAATATTTTTTATTTATATGAAAGATTACCTTTAAAATAAAGAAGACTATTAAAGATGTTCTTATAAGGAGAGTTGGTGATTATCGTAGTCGTGACTATTACCAATATTCATCAATTAATGAGTGGCGAAACTAAGAAATTGGGCATATTAAAAACTAGTAGAAGTGTTGAAAATTTTGCATTAGAGCCATCTATACAACAAGGACCGAATATCATCACCCAAGACAGTAAAAACTTCCCCNAGAATTTGATAAAATGTTGAATAATTGTTTGACTTTGAAAATATTTTAGATTCTATTTATAACCCGTTATATTTGTTAATGCTAAACACCCCCCTCAATAAAACTTAAAAATTAACTAAAGTACTCTAACCACTCAAGAGGACAGTCGGTCACCATCGCCAGACGGCAGTCAACTGTAGCTGGAACAATGCACGATTGACTGGATTTGATCATTCGTGTGTCAATATGGTCGTTTCTGGTTAGTTTACTGTGGATATGGTCAGAAACGGCCAAATCTACGATCAAATCTCTGGCTGTCATTAACGGCCAGATCGACGCACAATTGGCTAGATCCAATCGGTCATGCATCTTTCAGCCACAACGACCAAGGTGGCCATCGACAATAGGCAACAACGATGGTCTAGGGTGGATTAATTTTCATATTGAAATGAGTGAAAGGTAATTGTTTTTAATTTAATAGAATTAGAAAAAATGTTTTTTGTTGAATAGATGATAATATGAAAACAAATCTCACCCACTTTCCATTTTTAGACAAAAAAATTTATTTAATTTAGATTAATTTTCTAAATGAATTGATCTAATAAATAAACAAACACATATTTTGTTTTTTAACTCAAATAAGATAACAAAATAATAATCCTGGATAGTATAACAAAGGCGCTTAACCATTCATTCTTTACTATAAATTTTTAAATAATATATGAAAAACTTTAAACCTTTTTCTCCACATTTACTATTAATCCAAGAGAAGCTTAGTTGCAAATTGCGATAACGAATTTGATAGTTGTCAATACTCTAATAACATGTATAAAAAAATTAGCTTCATATTTATATTTATTAAAATTTTACAAGGAAACATGAAGAGTCAAACTTTCTTTTTTATTTATATTTAAAGAATAAGAGCCTGTTGGACTCTTGTTTCTATGAATAAACTATTTATAATAAAGAGTTTAAATCATATAAAGAGTCCTTTATAGAGTCAAATTTTACTCTTTTATCCTAATTTTAAATAATAAATTGTAAATTTCTATACATTTTATTTATAATTTATCTCCTATTAAGTTTCTTTCTTGTAAAAATATATTCTCTTCTATTGGATTTGAATAAAAAAATTATTCTTAATATTTAGAAATCAATAAAGATATTCTTTATTTATATGAAAGATACCCTTTAAAATAAAGAGTACCATTGAAGATGCTCTTACAAGAAGAGTTGGTGATTATCGTAAACGTGACTATTACCAATATTCATCAATTAATCAGTGACGAAACTAAAAAATTAGGTATATTAAAAAGAATAATACTATACGTACTTACGAGTGTACTAACCATCGTACTAACCTTTGTAAATATAAAACATAATACGAGTATCACAAGTATAGTATGGATACCATATGTAATTCTAACAAAAGTTAGTTAAATGGTTAGTAAAATCCGTGAGTACGCATATCATTACTCTATTAAAAACTAGTAGAAGCGTTGAAAATTTTACATTAGAGCCATCTATACAAGGACCGAATATCATCACCCAAGACAGTAAAAACTTCCCCTAGAAGTTATTCCAGAGAAAAGATATCAAATCGAACGTGACAGGAGACTGATTTTCACTGCTCCAATCTACACTTGACTTTGTTCGATGCTATTTTCGTGTAGACCTCTTTCGACCACAAGCCCTAGTTGCTGGAGCACCCTTCGAAGTGCTCGTAATAGCCTTTGCAGCTTCTTCCTCACTCCTTTCATCATCACTCACTTCATCAAAAATCTCAGTTTCGTCTGTGGATTCTTCCTCCTCCTCTCGCAAATTCCTAACATCCCGTTTTGAAAGCTGATCGCGGAGCTCTCTAAGTTTTGCTTTCTTTGAATTCAGGACGCCAAGGAACTAGAAGCATGAAAAGAACCAAAGTCAGTCCTTAATATACTATAAGAAATGAGGATGATGCTTCATATACACACCCATGCTTTCATCTGCATGCCTAAAGAACAAAGCATTACGAAATAGATTCAGCAATGATTAAATGGATAATTAGAAACTATTTATGGAGAAACTGAAACTTATAAATAAAATGCTTCAACTCAGCAGTCATGAAGTCTCATTGAACAAACATGGATCCGAAAAGAGACACAGAAAACTTGGAATCCTTTCCTGTAGCCCAATGCAACCTTCTTGGATGGAAAAATCTTCCCTCAATGATGCATTACAGCAACAGCACCACAGTTACTAGAAACTTATTCCATCAAAAAAAATCTAGAAGTAACAGTTCAGCAAATCACCAACAAATATACCATGTGAAGGAAATGCGAATTTCAAAAATCTGATTACAAGGCCATCAGAAATCAAATTATTTGTGGGCTAGGTTATGCAACGAAGCTGAAATTGATTGGCTCAGTCCAGGTACTTGTGATTCACAACTTATGGAAAGCCTCTTTGCTTTAGGAAAATAGAGGGCCAAGGTTGTGTGAAAATGTGCAGTCTTAGCTATCTTTCGGGTGATTTGACAAAAGAGAAAGAACAGAATTTTTTCTGAGAAAAAAGAAGAAGATGCAGTTTTGTGGGATTAAGTTTATCATTATGCATCAGTTTGGGTTTCAGTGGAATGGAGTTTCAAGATTCCTCTTTGTTGTTTATACAACTTAACTGCAAAGGAGTTTTGGTGGTTGATTTTTGTATAGACAGAAAATTTTGTACAAGGAGGGGTTGGTTCAATTGAGGATGTAAATGAGTTAAGGTGGTCAACCCTCTTAGGGCTCTAGTTCTCTAGGTGTCTTCTAGTCCACTAACTTCAACTAACTTTCACTATTAATACAAGTTGCTGACACACAGATAAAGATGTTTACAAGACTTGAAGCATGAGACAATGGGGTTTTTCACGACTTGTTACAAAACTGTTATCAAACATTTTGTTTATGGTCAAAAATGAAGAAGGAAGTCTGTTTCTGACCACCAAAACGTCTTACCGGTGTTGAACAACATGATTAAAGTAAAAGAACAACAACAGTAATAATATAACCGCAAAGAAACATGTTGGACATGTCAAAGCATTCACCTTTGTGTAGATTGCAGATTCAAACTCCACCTTCTCCTTGTTAAGTCTCTCACTTTGAGCCAAAGATTTCTCAGCCTCCACTTTTAGCCTCTCAAAAGATTGAGTTTTTCTGACAACTTCATCCTATAAACACAAATAATATCCATTTAAAAATATTAAATTAAATCTCCTCCAAGTTTATAGCGCCCATTCATATAAGGATTACATCAGGATCTCTGGTTCTTGAAAGACAACAAAAAGAAGAGAAAGAAAACTGTCCTAGTCATTTGGTCCTATGTAATTTACAAAAATTTCAAACAATGGAGCCACTCTAATGTTTCTTTCTTTTTTACTTAATCACACAACCGCACTCGGCCCTTCTCCACACACAAACACAAATTAAAAGATCCTCCTTACCCCTACAAGGTTGGTATAACTCTTGGTCCACCGCAAGAGCTCTAACCAACAAGGCTATTCAATGCACATTATTTACCCATTCTCTAATCCAGTAAAACTGTTTTGGCTGTTTGCATCATGATTCATGGGGATGCCAAATTAGCACTTCTATCAAGATCATATACTAGTGCTCTATAGGTGCTTATCCGGGTACCTGAAGTTCTCTCTATAGAAAATTAAAAAATCTAAAAAACTAATAATATACAGAATCTTACACTGAGCCTAATGTTAGCATCCATCAGAAAGTCCAAAATTCCTGCTGTAACACTCTTGCTATTTGGTGCAGGTTCACATTTCCACCTCCATTCAAGCTTTGTCCCTTCTTTCTCAAAGGTCCATGACAACTGCAGAACATCACTCCACCATTTAACAACTACGTTTCAAAATTCAAATACAGTCAATTAAAAAAAAAAAAAGAAGAAGAAGAAAATAAATACTTACTCTTTTATACCCATTACTAGCATCATTGAAACCGTAAACCGAGCCAGGCTGTTGAAACCCTAGATACCGCTCGGCCAAATTGACGTATTCGGTGACCGGTTGGTCCCACTGCGCCGCTCTCTCTCTCACCTCTTCTTCCGTCGCTGTCAAAAACTAATTATTTTGAGAAAAAAAAATGGAAATGATCGGGAAATGTTGGTTACAAGTTTTAATTTTACCATTGCAGAGCCAAGCGTTGAGGCCGTCGGTGATGGAGAGGTTGAAGTGTGTCTGATACCATGTGCCTTTTACGAAGATGGGTTCAGTGGAGTTGGGGATTTGAAGCTTTAGACACGAGTGTCTTGGAGTTGTTTCCATTTTTTCTGGTGACTATTTTCTGTGAGAAGCTGAAAGCTGTCCATGTTTATATGCAAGTCTTCCCGCCTTTCAAGTTGTGTGTCATGTAGTTTTTGTTTTTGTTTTTTTTTTTTTTTTTTTTGTGTGTGTGTAATGAATAAACGTCCGGCCAATTTACGCTTACCTTAATTAATTCTCGTGACCCTGAACTTATCCATGGATAAAAACTTTAATAACTACCCTATTAACATGTGTCTTATAAGTTATTCTCTCCATAAATAATAAAATTTTACTGAAATTTTGATTTTTAAAATTAATCAACATTAACGATCAAATTCTGAATTGAGTCCATAAAAGAGATCAAGTGAAATTGGGTATATAACTCCAAGGGGTTGCCCTAGCAGTAAAAAAGATTTACTTTCTTCATTAATTTTATGGATTCGAATTAACTTATGGTCTCACCAACCACATTTATAGCTTACCTTAGAATATTAAGCTTATAGAGTGTTCAATGGGCATTAATGATTAATTGAAGTACGCACAAGCTAATTCAAACCCTCTTATCATTAAAAAAAATAATATATATATATATACCTTGGGGCACCAACCAACCACATTTGTGGTTTCCCTTAAAACATTGGGTTTGTAGGATATTCAATAGGTCGGAACCAATTGAGATGTTGTAAACGCTAATTTACAGTTAAATTGAAGACTGAATCTTGTGAAGAGAGCCATTGACAACCTTGATGGACCTATAGGGTGTCTCCTTTCGTCCCTGAGGGAGTCCAGGCGAGGCAAGGGGATTGAAGTAGATCAGGGGTTTGGCGATATGAGAATTGGGGCTTAAGGGTAGTATTTTCTGAATCCATAATGAGGAGACTGGCCTTAACTTATATAGTGAATCGTAAGGGCTCGAATCCTAGTAAGACTCTGAGTCCAACTTGGTAGAGGAACTCTTTTTTCGGGAAGAGATTTGATTCTTTGTCTTTATCTGTCAATGCTTTCCTCTTTAGATAAGATACGAAATCTTATCAGAAGAGGAATTTGGTTAGGATTTTGATCCTTGATATTGACTGCTGCAAGCGAATAGGCCGAACTAGAGCTGGGCATTTGGGACCGGGCCAAAAGCCCAGCTCCAAAAACCGGTCCTAGGACTTGTCCTTGGGAGGACCGGTCCTAGGAGGTCTGGTCCCAAAACGGGACCAGACCTAAGGAGGAGGGCCTGGGCCCAAACTTTTTTTTATCTTTTATCAATTTAGTCCTTTATAAAATTACATTAAACCCCCTAAAATAAGTATAAATTGAAGGACTAAAATGAAATTTTATAAAATTTATTAAAAAAAAAAAAAATTAACCGTTGGCTGCCAACGGTAACTAACACCAACGGTTACTTTTATATAATATAAGTTTTTTTTTTTTCATATTCCCCCCCACAACTACACTATAAATAACCCTAAAACCTTTAATTTTTTTCACACCAATCAATCTCTCATTCTTTCATTCTCTCAATCTCTCTGCTCCAAATCTCCAATCAATTTCTCATTCAATTTATATTTATAATTTATTTATATTATTCAATTTTTTTTCTATTTTTTAAATATCATCATAATTTNCACCAACCACATTTATGGCTTACCTTAGAATATTAAGCTTATAGAGTATTCAATAGGTCTGATGATTTATTGAGGTATGCGCAAGGCCGCAAGCTAATTCAGACCCTCTGGTCATTAAAAAAAAAATACCTTGGGGCACCGACCAACCACATTTGTGGTTTTCCTTAAAACATTGGGTTTGTAGGATATTCAATAGGTCAGAACCAAATGAGATGTTGTAAACGCTAAAATTTACAATTGAATTGAAGACTGAATCTTGTGAAGAGAGCCACTGACAACCTTGATAGACCTACGGGGTGCCTCCTTGCGTCTCTGAGAGTCTAGGTGATGCAAGGGGATTGAAGTAGATCAGGGGTTTGGCCATATGAGAATTAGGGCTTAAGGGTAGTATTTTTTGAATCCATAATAAGGGGACTAGCCTCAGCTTATATAGTGAACCGCAGGGTCTTGAATCCTAGTAAAACTTTGAGTCCTATTTGGTAGGGAACTCTCTTTTCGGGAAGAGATTGGATTCTTTGCCTTTATTTGTCAAGGCTTTCCTCTTTGGATGAGATACAAGATATTGTCAGAAGAGAAATTTGGTTAGAATTATGATCCTTAATATGGACTGCTGCGGGCAAATGGGCTGAACTCAATTCAGTTTAACTCGATAGATGACCTAACTCATAGAGCATGCAGTTCCCAAGGTATTCTAAGCGTGAGTCCAATCGGGATTAAACCAAGACTCTGGACCATCACTTATCACTGTTACGGTTGGACCTCGTGAGACCCAATACGAATTTTGACCCATATAGACGCATACTCAAACAGGCTGGTCATTCAAAAATAAAAGAAATTGGGTATATATAAAATAATATGATAGGTCTTATCTTACTTAAAATTCGGCTTAAATTTCCTTTAATTAACTCGGCATAAAAAAGAAACTCGTATATATCAAGGCTGTTGAGCGATCCATTGAACAATAAATAGGCTGTTAAGGGATAAATTGAACAATAATAAAATTAAACTACAAGAATATTTTACAGAAAGGACATAATAATCTTACTTTATAATCATACCTAACCAGTTTGAATGTTTTAACTTTTAAAGAGCTGTAAAGCACTATTGATATAACCTCAGGAATTGGTCCGGAAGGTTTTGTTCTTTTTTTTTTTTTTTTTTTTTATGTTAAACTTAAGGTTAGTTTTACCTCATTTTTTTGGGGTTTTTTAATAAACTTTAAAAATTAGTTAAGGTCTATATAAACTGGTTCAAATATCCTAGTTATAAAAACAAAAAATATTATTGAAACAATTAAATTATCATTATTTTTGATAATATTATTAAAGAAAGTATAAGAGAGAAATGACAAGAAGAACAAATGAGTGGTGATTCAGTGATTAAAAGACAAGAAAAACACCCTTAAACTGGGGTTGATGAACCGAAAACAAGCAAAAATTCATGAGGACAGAAGGAATTTAAAAATCATTTACATATATATTTTTTTTCTTTTTCTGGGTGACAATCATTGAAGTATATAATGATCTTAATAATTGAATCGAGATTTTTATGGATTTAAAGGAAAATTATAGATGCAGGGAATCACCAAACTTACAGAAAACTCCAAAAGTAACATGAAGTATGTGTCGATTAACAATAACAAGGTCACGTGCATCCTTAGTGACTGACACCAAGATAGATGAAATACTACGGTAATAAGAGCATATTGTTATCCATCAGAAAGCCCCAGTTAAATATGTCTTTAAGATTCTGTCACTCTCTTCTTCTCCTTCAATTGATTTTCTGTTCCATCTCTGCAATCTTATCTCAAGATAATGGAGACCCAACAATCAGAACCATGGAGGCTTTCTCCGGCTACCCTATTCATGAATCCAACTCATTTGCTACAGACTTCGTTTCTTCCCTCTCAGTTGACACTCTAACTCTCCAGAAACAGGTACCCACTAAATTTATAGTATCATGGAGAGGTAAAACTGATATGGGGTTTCTTTCTTTTTCTCTTATTGAAATATTTTCTTTTTTATTTTGATTATTAGATTGATGAGCTGTCAACTTTCTCGGATACACCTGCGCCATCAGTTACTAGGATCCTTTACTCTGAGAAGGATGTTTTGGCTCGCAGGTAAACTATGTGAAGTTACACTTGTTAACCGTGATTTGATTATATGCGCTGTTTGGTACAAGGTTCAAGTTTTAAACTGTTTCTGAAGACTTAATTTGTCTTATACATTTGTTTTTCTGGGTGTACTGAATATCACAATATTGATCCAACAACAACAAAATCATAGGACCTTTGATGAATATTTCAAATAATATCATCTTGATGCTGCTTAAACTTAATAGACTCCTTATGTAATGTGATTTTTGAAAATGACTGTTCTCTTTGTGTTTTTCATTTCTCTTTAAAAGCTATATGAATATTTATATTAAATATTCCTTATATGATGAGGATTATCAAGTTAAACTCTTATGTGCTGGTGTTCTCCAACTTTATCTTCTGTGTTTCACCTGAGCTAAGTGTTTATGTTGTCTGTTTGAAATATTTAATTGCAGGTACATCAAACACTTGATGACACTCGCAGGTCTCTCTGTAAGAGAGGACATTGTTGGTAACATATTTGGTAGATGGTGAGATTTCTTTTTCATCTTAGAATTTTCTTTGCATAAATTGCAATTACTTCATTCTGCGTTCTGTCAAAGAACCATAGCCTATGACCCATTTTTGCCTTATCTAGGATCACTTCCTCCACAGATCATGCCCAATGTTTCATTTTTATTGCTTTTTTCAGTTTTTTCTCTCTCTCATAACCATAAATGAATTTTTATCTACTAGAAGAATACCAAAACCTTTAGTAAGAATTCTGTTATCTTATTTAACACAGAGAGTTGTCAATTAATTGGTCAAGGAATCTTTATGCAGGACTGGCCATGAATCAGAGCTTGCTCCAGTTGCAACTGGTTCTCACATTGATGCTATTCCATACTCTGGCAAGTATGATGGAGTCGTTGGTGTGTTGGGTGCAATCGAAGCCATTAATGTGCTAAAAAGGTCCGTGGTTTAGTTTTTGATAAAGTCTGAAAATTGTTGATGCTAATTGCTATCATAGTGATGCTGCTTTAAGGTTGATTTGCATGCATGATTTAGCTCTTGAATTCTCTTTGCAAATCATTGGTAGTTAATGAGATTGGCGTATGTATTTTAATGCTTGGATAAGTATATACTTAGATGTTGAAGTGTATCTTTGATCAGCTCGCCTGACCTGTAGTCAGATAATTTTAAAATTAAGCCAGAACTTACAGACATCCTTCTTGAAATTTCCTAAGCACTCCTCTCTAGTCCAAAGCAACTCAACTAGAGCTTGAATCATTGTTCATGAAAGTTATTGCTTGTACTTTTAATTCCAGTTCATAAAAATTATTTTGAATAATTTACCATGCCTAATTATGAATTAAAGAAAATGTCGCTTTTCTGATAATGTAATTGCTTTCTTATTACATCTTGTTTTCCTTCAAATTAGTATCTGGTATATTGACCAATTTTCTTTTGGTCTATCCTGTGCTGACTGGAATTTCAATAGGTATGGGTTCAAGCCTAAAAGGTCACTGGAGGTTATCATGTTCACCTCAGAAGAGCCAACACGTTTTGGGATCAGTTGTTTGGGAAGGTTAGCTACTTCTAAATAGTTAGAAGTTCCTCACACGGATTTACACACTTTCTAATGTTTATTCAATTAATATTTTTTCTTAACTATCGCTCACTCAAAATAAAAAAAAAATAATTATTACTTTTCTTATAAATTTTCTGGTCACATATCTTTGCAGCGTGAGTTTATCACTTTGAGTTTATCACTTCTAGTAAATATGACATTGATTCCAAAATCCTTTGAGTTTCTGAAATATGAATGACATTGATTCCGAAGTCACTTTCAGAAGGGAAAGGGACCCAACTAGCTGCATTCTCTCTATGTTTTAGGATAATTAATATATATACAATTGTAGTGAATATGCAATTGTAGATGGTTAGTGGATTTGAGAATTTTACTCCATATTATGAGGTTCCTCATCTGTTATGTTCACTGTGCAGCCGCTTATTGGCTGGGAGTGAAGCACTTGCAAAGGATCTTATGTCAACAGTTGATAGTCAAAATATATCCTTTTTAGATGCTGTAAGATCTGCAGGATATGCAAAAGAACAAGATGACTTATCCAGTGTGTTTCTGAAGAAAGGAAGTTACTCTGCTTTTCTTGAATTGCATATAGAGCAGGGACCCATTCTGGAGGAAGAAGGTTTGCCATTTTTATTGCATATTTTATGATTGTGACCTCTATTTAAATTGGCTCACTTTATATTTCTTTTCTTTTTTCTTTTTTCTTTTTGGTGGAAGGGGGGGCAACCTCAGCAGTAGAATGAAATTTATTAAAAAAGAAAAGAAATGACACTTAGTTAAGGGGGAAAAATAATGAGCTTTACCCCTCAAAGGAGAAATAAAGACAGAAATATTTTTAAAAAATGCAAAAGCATCATGTGACATCTAAGTAAATCAACTTTATACTTCTTCAGGTACATCTATTGGCATAGTTACTGCTATTGCAGCACCTGCAAGTTTAAAAGTAGATTTTGAAGGCAATGGAGGCCATGCAGGTGCAGTCTTGATGCCAAAGAGGTAACTATTATCAGTCTACGTATGATTTTATTCTGACTCAAGTAACATTTATATCAAGTATGCATCTATGTATTTTTGGAGTTCCTAAATCTTGTGCTGTTATGTCCTGTACTTCTTTCAACAATTTGATATATTCCTGCATGGTTGTGACTGCTTCAATTATGCATGTCATGAGTGAAATCTGCTTATGAGGTCCTGAATTAACTTTTGATATTCTTTGCATTCTCTTGAGTAGTTGCATCTAATTCATATCAACATTTAAAACTTCAGTCTTGTAAGCTATTTTTACTTTATTCAAGCATTCAAGATCCTTCAAGTTGGATGACTAACTCTAATTAGATTATCATACTACATAACAACATATCTTTTTTTTATGCTGACGGTAGTCTAGTTCCTGCAGTCAAATTTTGTAGCCATCTAGAATGAGATCAATTTCACATGAGGGTATACCATTAACCTCATCTAAATATGAAAATACAGACAGAGCCCTGTGGTTTGAAAAATATCAATAATTTCCTGTCTGATAAATTTCAGTATTTTCAGATATCTTTTTGATGAATTTTAGAACCACCCTGTATTTAGGTAATACCGCAGGAGGAGTCGGCAATATTTGTCCTTTTTACATTTATTTTATTTTATTTTATTTTACTATGCTTGTTCAGTCGATAAGATCCATAACATTTATAAACATGATTTGAGCAGAAATGATGCTGGTCTGGCAGCTGCAGAATTAGCACTGGCTGTTGAGAAACATGTATTAGATTCTGGATCCGTTGATACTGTTGGTACAGTTGGTGAGTCATGTTCCCTTCTTACCTACTCATAGAATATTATGTTATTTATTGGATGTAGAACCACATCTTGCAACATATAGTGCTTATATTTTTATTTAGGCTATCTTAACTTTTCATAGAACTCTGCTGTAACCAAATAAGTTATGTTTCCTAAGGTATACTGGAGCTGCATCCTGGTGCAATCAACAGCATCCCAAGCAAATCACACCTAGAAATTGGTATGTTTTCCATTAGTTGTAGTTCACATCTTATGGTAGAACAGACAAGTGTATAAGTATAACAAATGTGCTCGCAATGCTTCAATAAGTTGATTATCAAATTTCCTGAAGTTTGTATTAAATGTTTCATGAGGAAACCCTTGGCATTTTGTCTTTGCCAATGAAAATTTTGACCAACGTTAGATTTAGTTCCATTTGATTTTCTGATAATTTTATTTCTTGTTTAATGGTTTTTGTTTATCTATCTTTTGGCAGACACACGTGACATTGATGAAAAGAGAAGAAATATTGTTGTTGAGAAAATCCATCAGTCTGCAGTTTCAATAGCTAAAACTCGGGGTGTTGTGCTCTCCGAATTTAAAATCATAAATCAGGATCCCCCAGCTCTATCGGAGAAATTAATAATTGAGGCAGCAGAAGCAGCGTCAAAAGAGCTAAATTTAACACATAAGTTGATGATCAGCAGAGCTTACCACGATTCACTGTTTATGGCCAGGTATAGAGAGGAAGCAAGTTATTATATCAGCCTTTATCAACATAGCCTATATGTGCACATTGTTTGCAAATTGAAGACTATGTCCCTTTAAATCTCTAATTATGTCATACAACTTTGCATGTTTTCCTAGGACCATTTTCTTAGATGGTAGAGGTTATTTCTTCATTTCTATTGAGCGAGGGACTGATACCCGAATGCAAAATTGTCCAACTCCCTTCTCTTCTTCCAGAGCATGTTTACAAATGCTACACATTAGCATTCGCAAAGATAAAATTTCTTCAGTTGCTTTTCTCTGCATTTGTGTATTCAATCTCAATCGAAGCCTACTGAACACTATATTTTATCATGATGTCTTATTATTATGATTATATACTTTACCTGCTCAAGTTTCAGGTGATGATGACCTTTTAACTGCTAATTTTTTTTTTTTTTTTTTTCCTTTTTTAGTGGTTTTGACAGCATACTGCTTCTAATTATAGACATTTTCTCATCCATGCAGGGTATCCCCAATGGGCATGATTTTCATTCCATGTTACAAAGGTCTGAAAATCTCTTTCTTCTGCATATAGCAAAGACCTTCTTAATAATGTTCATAATGTCAGAAAATGACAAATTAGATTCCATCTGTTGAAACAGTATCTGGTTTGTGACCAGACAACCAGAAACTGGAGTACAAGTACAAGCGCCAAAAGCATTTTGGTGCTAGTACTCCCGTTTCTTTGCTAATTATGTGCACATGCAACAAACCATGTATCTAAGCACACTGAAACTCTTCAACTTTGGCAAAAAGAAAACAATAAAAAAAAAAAAATATTGGCTTTGGTAAGGGCACAAACTCATTCCCAAATAGTCTTTAACACAATGGGGGACACTAGCTAGGCAAATGGAGCACCTCTAGAATTCTTAAACTATCTTACCAACTTTTACCATTCGAGGAAAACAAAATGTGACAACAATAATACATGTTTTCATTCATTTCTTTTGCAGGGTACAGTCACAAACCTGAGGAATATGCTTCCGGTCAAGACATAGCAAATGGGGTCAAGGTATTAGCACTGACCCTTGCCAAGTTGTCCCTGCAATGATCATTGTTTTAATTTCTCCTTAACCAGCTACTTAAGTTTTCATCAGGGGTATGTATTCTTCTTTTATGTACCCTTTTTGAAGTTGGGTTCACTGTATGCATATGTTTAGTCAATCACTTAATCTAAAGTTCCTCCAAGATGAGCGAATTTCAAAGATATGAGAGTGGATTGAGGAAATCATGGTGGATGTCCAACATTCCCTTTCACAGTGGAATAATAATCATGAAATAGTTATCTTAATTAATAATTTCAAAGATATGTGTATGTATGTGTTCTGTGCATGTGGCAGAGAGGTGAGAAACAGAGACTAAAACATTTTCATCTCTATTTCTATTACTTGCTGTAAAATGAAGCAACTTGTATATGCCAACAAGAACAGCAGCACTGTAAATTTTACCTGAACACACTTCCTAGAAATGAAAAAGAGAACAAAGGAAAACAGAGTGACAGAGATGCACAAGCCCCAGTATCCAGCTCCCTCAAACTAACTCTACCTAATTTCTATGGCATCTTGGTCATGTTAGGAGCAAGTCTAAACAGAAATGACTGACTAGTACTCTGATTATATCCTAGCTCAAAACTCGCGAAAATTCTGGAAAGATAATCTCTGCATTAAAAGACTGTATCATCAGCAGTGGTCCTGTTGGCTTTCTCAAACAATGGTTTTTCAATCTGAGAGGCAGTTAAAAGAGATGAACCTATTAGTAGTGAAATGAATAACTGGAATTTGTGTAAAGTAAATTGGACTAATGAAAGCAGTTTCAACCTTGGGTCTCTGAATGAATTGACCTAGATCGTGATCGTACTCCAGCCGCGTGAAGTCTAAACATAGCTTTAACCCTGTTGCATTTACCAAAACATGTAATCTGGTTATATGGAAATGAGAGGAAATTTGTTTAACACAAAAGGGGTGTGGCCTCTTACATCCTCCATCATCTCCATTCAGAATGTAATCGTAAATGTACCACTGCTTGTTCATCTGCAATACAATATAAGATCAGAGAAACCTCATTAGGGAAAATTCAGAGATTGATTTTTAATTTAGGAAAACTATTTTCGAGTAAAACACATTCATGAATAATATTAAGTCTCCAGAAAAACTCCTAGTTAATGATGGATACCACAACAAATCCAACAGCAATTAAGTCAATCTTTCCTCCTACGAATATAACCCTTATTCACTATTCACTTGACTCCACAACATACAATGGCATTCCAATTACCATGAGATATTTCAAGAAATTCGATGGAACCCCCAAGCAAGATTTAAGTTAAAAAAAAAAAAAAAAAAAAAGAAGATCCCAAGACAGATACTTAACAAAAGTGTAAACCCTGAAAATCCTAAAAATGACTTGAAACCCGTAATTTTCATCCTATAAATTTCCCAAGGAAATTGGAAAATTCATAACTGAACCAAGAATTCTTGTGAAGAAGACTGAAATTGTAGAGGGAGATAAAGAAAGGCCGGTTCTTCGTAAACCCAAGAATAAAGAATCCTATAAATCCTTAGAGCTTATTTTCTTCTCTGTAGTTTTCTCGGCAACCATACGTACCAAGCCTAAGTCATTGTCCAAAAGAACTTAAGCCCGTTAAATAGCATTGTAAAGAAATCCCAACCATTCTACAAGAAAAAGACCATGTAAACCAATCAACTTCTAGTGATTATTTTCTTTTACAAAATTTCTCTTATCTAAGCAACCATAATCTATCCAAGAAAGTTTTAAGTATTTACCCGGGTAGGTTGAGCAAAGCAGTGCGTGGAAAGAAAGATATGCAGTAGCAGTGTCAAGATTGGTAAAGAAGTTATGAAGCTACTCCTTCTGGTCAATAGTTCTGGTGCCATCACTACAGCAAAGAACTCTATGCGACAATGGCACTGGCTTCTTGGAAAAAGTCGGAGAGGCTAGAGATTTTGTGTAAGGGAGTCTGTTGTGAATGGGGCTATTCTAATATAGAGGTGGTGATCCAATGAGGGATGGGGTGGTAATGCTCGTAGTTATTTTTGGCGCCAAGAGTCTGTTAGAGCAATCCACACAAGGTAGTTTAAAAGAATTATGGGTTTGCAACTGTTTCTTAAGCAGCACAGTTGATTATTTTAATGAAGAATATTATTAGCCAACCATGTAGAGAGGCACACTGAAACCATTAACTGCTGGTGCAAGGGTAAGTACCAATAACCACGCCTGTCCAGTTTGAGATAAAACAACCTTACAAGTAAATAGATATTTCCATCCATATGCTTTTTCAGGGTACATTTTTCAGTCAAGACTTCTTATTAATTAGCTACTGAAATTTTTTAACAGAAAATATTTTCTCCTGCATTAGTTAGATAAAATGTTTTCTGAAGACTGAAGATCACGACAACCAGCCTATTCATCTTCTTTATAATAATAACATAAACCCAGTTGGTTTAGCATCAAAACTTGCATATTAAGAGACAATTTGATCAGTGATATTTGCATTATTAACTGAGCGCAGGAGAGAGAGAGTAGAAACTGAAAACAAGTATTTAGTATTTATTTCTCTGCAGTAAAATGAAACATTACAAATCCAACGTGAATAACACGGTTCTGTACGTTATATCTCAACAACACTCGAACATGAAAATGACAACACTACAATAGAAAACACATAGAGATACTAGGCTTCACAAGATCTGCTCCACTAAATTGTCTCCATCTCAATCAAATCATCATGTTAGCAGATCACCTAGTAGCAACTCCAAGTACTAATGGGTATATATACGTCTCTATTAAGAACTTATATAACTGAAAAAGAACATTTATACAGTAGACTGCGGAAAAGGAATTCTTATGCAACTGCTTAATCAGGCCTGCTTATCAGATTCCACCTTAGGTGCTGTGGCAGCATCAGCAGCAGTTGTGGTCTCAGCCTTTCCCAGAATGACTTGGATCTGAAAACCAGTAAGATAGATCAAGAATAAGAACTTGTAACTGGTGAAAAAAAAAAAGAAAAAGAAAGAAGAAAAGAACAAGTAAGCAGTACAACCTTAGGTTTCTGAATGAAAGAACCTCTATGATCCTCCTTCGAGTCCACCGTAGATATTTTCACCTCTGTTGCATCACAACATGTAAATCTAATTAGTTTTAATGAAGAGGATCTTTAGTTAATTAACATGAAGAGGATGTGGCCTCCTACCCTTGTTATTAGCTAGTCCATCTCGTTTCAGAATCTCAGCAATTGTGATAACAGTAGGAATGGCTGGCATTAAATAACACCAGTAATTGCATTAATACAGAGAAACAGAAAAGGTCATCCAACTAAACTGTCCCTCGGGGAAAAAGATTAACTATAAGCTTTAGTAGCAATTAAAAGGAAAAGAAAAGGATTAACTATAAGCTTTAGTAGCAATTTTGCAATTAGATTATAACAATAATTGAAAAGGGAAGGAAAAGGATAAGGGATAGTATGTACCCATGCCCAAGGCTGAGAGTTCAATATTATTGTACTGCTTTATGTAACTCTGCAACACAGATTAATAAGATTAAAGAAAACCCCATTAAGAAAATTATAAAATCTGCAAATTTTCTTGTCATTAAGTTTTCATTTTAGTAATATTACCGATTAGGTAAAAGTACCCCAACAAATCCAATAGCAATTAAGTCGGAAAGATTATGCACTGAAAAACTACAAATCAAGATTTAGAACAAATTTGAAGATGAAAATGACTTGAAACATCGACAATGAAAACCAAATAATTGTATCATGAAGCATCAAGCAAGATTCAGAGAAAAAAATGAATCAGAAAGATACATCCAAGAGCAGATGCAGATCAAAAACCAAAAATTATCAAAATTAAGCTCTCAATTCTAAATTTTAATAACCTTGTTGAGGAATAATGACAAAACATATAGATAATAAAGAAACAAAGGAAACTACAGATTCTTGATTAAGGAAAACACAAGAAAATATGTAGATACCTTGGCAAGATTGAGGTAGAAAATGAAGGGTTTCTTGGTGTTGGAGACTTGAATGCGAGTGTTGCTCTTCTTCTTTTTCTTGTTCTTGTTCTTGTTCTTCTTCTTCTTGATCTGAGCTGAAAAGTCATTAGTAGTAACAGCAGCAGCGGCAGCATTAATAACTTCACCATTAGTAACAGGAGCTGCCTCTTTGTTTTTGTTGTTATTGTTGTTGTTGCTCTTGTTCTTGACTTCCTCTTTCTTGAGCTCAACTTTCTCCGAAACAACCTCGGTGCTTGCCTCCATTGTTAAGAACTCTCTTTTTCTCTCTCTGTTTCTTTCCTCTTTATTGAGCTCAACATTCTCTGAAGCAACCTCGGTGCTTGCCTCCATTGTTAAGAAATCCCTTTTTCTTTCTCTTTGTAGAATGCTGGGAAATAGCGGGAAATGTTGTTGAGTAATTACTTGTGACTAGCTTATGATTGGAGGCGCCTTTATATAGAGGTGATAGGGCCAATATCGAACGAACACATGGAGGTTTCCGATTGGTTTAACTCTGCAGGTTCGTTTTTTTTAAGCGGGAACAGCCTTGCAAGTTGCAACTGCTGGTAGAGTTAATGGAATGATAATCACGAATTAGTTATCTTAATTAATTTTGGGCTAAGCTTGTTCTGTTGTAGTTATTACTGTTTAGAAATGGATATAAAATCTAATTCTTAATTAACTCATATCCTCTTATATTTTTCTGGTAAGCAGAGCCAATTCATTATCACTCAAATATTTTTTTTCCTGCAAAGGGAAGTTGACAAGATGCGCACTGTAAAATGAAAAAGAGAACTGTTATGCCTAGAATATCAGCCTGACATAAGCGAGCACAAATAAGAGTTCAGAAAGGTTTTACGTCGTCTAGAGTCTCTCACGTCGCCCAAGATATGAAGAATATAACTGTCAACAATCCAACCGACTCAAGTTTTGTCTGTGAATGAATTTGGTTCGCACACCTGTCCAATCCCCGTTTAATTTAAAGATATTTCCTAAGTTATCAACCAATGGGACATCAGAAAAGACTTGTACGGTACCAACTCACTTACAGATTTGTAATTATTACCTTAAACTCAACGGATATAAATAGACAGCTCTCTCTCACAAAATGGGGATTAGACACTCTGAATTTAACAAAGCAAATAACAAAAACACACTATGAGAAAGAGACTAGCTTTATATTTTCTAGAATACCAAACACTTGTAACCTAGTTCATAGTTCGCAATCTCTTGTAAATTTGGCTAAAAACCAAGAACACTCATATAAAAGAAAACAATCGATGTAGGATTTGTTTTAAGCATCCAAACCACTATAAAACTCTAATGGTTTCATCTACTTTAAGTATTTGCATACTACTGTGACAACAGTATCTCATAATCAATTCACGAGTAATTTTTAAGACTTTCTTAGCACTTTACAAATACGAAATCGTTCATGTCAAAATCAAACATCAACGAGAACAAAGGAAAAAATATGTGACAGAGATGCACAAGCACCAGTACGTAGTTCCCACAAACTATCTCCACTCCATTTCTATGGCATCTTGGTCACATTACTCTGATTATATCCTAGCTCTAAACTCTCTACAGTCAAAGTCTGTATCGTCAGGCCTTTGTTGGTGCCGCAGGCTGTAACACATAAATCTTTTGTCTCCTATGAACTTTAGAAAATTAGAAAAAAAAGTGTAATTAGACACATTTCAAGTTCTGATAACTTTTTAATTGATTCTACAACATACAATGACATTTGATTAATTGTAAAAACTGAAGATCCCAGGAAAGATATCATACAATTGAACCCATAAAAATCCTTAAAATGTCTTAAAACCCCATGAATGCCCTAAGAAAATGGGAAAAATCACAACTGAACCAAGAATTTCAGAGACGAAGACTGAAAATGTAGAGGGAGATAAAGAAACGCTACTTCTTCGTTAAACCCAAGGAAAAATAATCGAACAAACCTTTAGAGCTTATTTTCTTTTCTCTGTAGCTGAGAGTTCAATATTATTGTACTGCTTTATGTAACTCTGCAACACAGATTAATAAGATTAAAGAAAACCCCATTAAGAAAATTATAAAATCTGCAAATTTTCTTGTCATTAAGTTTTCATTTTAGTAATATTACCGATTAGGTAAAAGTACCCCAGCAAATCCAATAGCAATTAAGTCAGAAAGATTATGCACTGGAAAACTACAAATCAAGATTTAGAACAAATTTGAAGATGAAAATGACTTGAAACATCGACAATGAAAACCAAATAATTGTATCATGAAGCACCAATCAAGATTCAGAGAAAAAATTGAATCAGAAGGATACATCCAAGAGCAGATGCAGATCAAAAACCAAAAATTATCAAAATTAAGCTCTCAATTCTACATTTTAATAACCTTGTTGAGGAATAATGACAAAACATATAGGTAATAAAGAAACAAAGGAAACTACAGATTCTTGATTAAGGAAAACACAAGAAAATATGTAGATACCTTGGCAAGATTGAGGTAGAAAATGAAGGGTTTCTTGGTGTTGGAGACTTGAATGCGAGTGTTGCTCTTCTTCTTTTTCTTGTTCTTTTTCTTGTTCTTCTTCTTCTTGATCTGAGCTGAAAAGTCATTAGTAGTAACAGCAGCAGCGGCAGCATTAATAACTTCACCATTAGTAACAGGAGCTGCCTCTTTGTTTTTGTTGTTATTGTTGTTGTTGCTCTTGTTCTTGACTTCCTCTTTCTTGAGCTCAACTTTCTCCGAAACAACCTCGGTGCTTGCCTCCATTGTTAAGAACTCTCTTTTTCTCTCTCTGTTTCTTTCCTCTTTATTGAGCTCAACATTCTCTGAAGCAACCTCGGTGCTTGCCTCCATTGTTAAGAAATCCCTTTTTCTTTCTCTTTGTAGAATGCTGGGAAATAGCGGGAAATGTTGTTGAGTAATAACTTGTGAGTAGCTTATGATTGGAGGCGCCTTTATATAGAGGTGATAGCGCCAATATCGAACGAACACATGGAGGTTTCCGATTGGTTTAACTCTGTAGGTTCGTTTTTTTTAAGCGCGAACAGCCTTGGAAGTTGCAACCGCTGGTAGAGTTAATGGAATGATAATCTCGAATTAGTTATCTTAATTAATTTTGGGCTAAGCTTGTTCTGTTGTAGTTATTACTGTTTAGAAATGGATATAAAATCTAATTCTTAATTAACTCATATCCTCTTATATTTTTCTGGTAAGCAGAGCCAATTCATTATCACTCAAATATTGTTTTTCCTGCATAGGGAAGTTGACAAGATGCGCACTGTAAAATGACAGAGAAACTGTTATGCCTAAAGAGTAATACTACAGTTACGCAGCGAATTCGTGCACTGAATGACGTGATACAATCTTGACTATTTATTCATTATCAGTTAATATTAATCAACGGTTAAGATTTTATCACGTCATTCGATGCACAGATTCGGTGTGTATTTTCGGTGACTCTATCATTTTCCTATGCCTAAAATATCAGCCTAACAGAAGCGAGCACTAATAAGAGTTCAGAAAGGTTTTACGTCATCCAGAGTCTCTCACGTCGCCCAAGACATAAAGAATATAACTGTCAACAACTCAGCCAACTCAAGTTTTTCCTGTGAATGAATTTGGTTCGCACACATGTCCAATCGCCGTTTAATTTAAAGATATTTCTTAAGTTATCAACCAATGGGACATCAGAAAAGACTTGTACGGTACCAACTCACTTGCAGATTTGTAATTATTACCTTGAATTCAACAGATATAAATAGACAGCTCCCCCTCACAAAATGGGGATTAGACACTCTGAATTTAACAAAGTAAACAACAAAAACACATTATGAGAAAGAGACTAGCTTAATATTCTCTAGAATACCAAACACTTGTAACCCAGTTCTTAGTTCGCGATCTCTTATAAACTTGGCTAATAACCAAGAACACTCATATAAAAGAAAACAATCGAATGTAGGATTCGCTTTAAGCATCCAAACCACTATAAAACTTTCATCTTCTCATTTACTTTAAGTATTTGCATGCTATTGTGACAACAGTATCTCATAATCAACTTCTCATAATCAATTCACGTGTAATTTCTAGGAATTTCTTAGTACTTTACAAGTGCGAAATCGTTAGTGTCAAAATCAAACATCAACAAAAACAAAGGAAAAAATGTGTGACAGAGGTGCACAAACTATCTCCACTCCATTTCTATGACATCTTGGTCACATTAGGAGTGCCAGTACTCTGATTATATCCTAGCTCTAAACTCTCTACAGTCAAAGTCTGTATCGTCAGGCCTTTGTTAGGGAAAATTCAGATAGAATACAAAGAAACCTAACAAATTTAAACTAGTTAATGATGGCCACCACAACAAATCCAGCAGCAAAATTAAGCCAATGATTATATCCTTAAAGAAACCATAAATCTTTTGTCTCCTATGAACTTTAGAAAATTAGAAAAAAAAAGTGTAATTAGACACATTTCAAGTTCTGATAACTTTTTAATTGATTCTACAACATGCAATGACATTTGATTAATTGTAAAAAGTGAAGATCTCAGGATAGATACCATACAATTGAACCCATAAAAATCCTAAAAATGTCTTAAAACCCCATGAATTCCCTAAGAAAATGGGAAAAATCACAGCTGAACCAAGAATTTCAGAGACGAAGACTGAAAATGTAGAGGGAGATAAAGAAACGCTACTTCTTCGTTAAACCCAAGGTTTTTATTAGCTTGTTTGGAAATCTCGAATAAAAGAAAAGAGACATCAAAACTCGGCAACCAAACATACCAAGACAAGAAAGTCATAGCCCAAAAGAACTTAAGCTCATTACATAACATTGTAAAGAAATCAATACACATGAAAGAAATTCCAACCATTCCACAAGAAATTCTCTTAGTGGTTATTTTCTTTTACAAAATCTCTCTCATCTAAGCAACCATAATTGATCCAAGAAAGTTTCAAGTATGTACCTGGGTAGGTTGGGCAAAGCAGTACGTGTAGATAAAGACATGCAGTAGCAGTGTCAAGATTGGTAAATAAGTTATCAAGTTACTCCTTCTGGTTAATTGAGAAAGAGACAGTTACAGTACCTCTACCAGTAAATGTTCTGGTGCCATCACTTCTGCAAATAACTCTATGCAACAATGACACTTCTCGGAAAAGTCGTTTGTATGCATATCATCAGTAAATGAGACTTGATATAAATTACAAAACTCCATCTTTGATCTGTGATTTTCAAAGATTTCAGATACTGAATTGGATATTGCAGATACCGAGTTACTCGACTTTGAATAGTAATCATGGAATAGCACTTAATTTTAACTTGATTTGGGTAGAAATGGCTCTAATGTAGTTATAACTGCTAACTAATGATCTGCCATAAACCTCTTCAGTCTTCAGGATAAATACTTTCTGAAGACTGAAGATTGCAACAATCAGCCTATTCATCTTCTTTATAATAATAAAATAAACCCATTTGGCTTTGATGCAAAACTTGTATATTAAGTGACAATTTGATCAGTGATAGAGAGATGGTAGAAACTACAAAACAAACACATATTTATATTTCTCTGCAGTAAAATGAGACATCGTATATCTAACATGAAGAAACGGTTATGTACATTATATCTCAACAACACTTTGCATATGAAAATGACAACACTACAATAGAAAACACATAGAGATGCTAGGCTTCACAAGATCTGCTCTACTAAACTGTCTCCATCTCAATCAAATCATCCTCTGCTAGCAACTCCAAATACTAATAGGTACATATACATCTCTATTTTATTAAACTGAAAAAGAAACAGTTATACAGTAGACTGTGGAAACGGAATTCTTATGCAACTGTTTGGTCAGGCCTGCTTATCAGATTCCACCTCAGGTGCTGTGGCAGCATCAGCAGCAGTTATGGTCTTGACCATACTCTCAGCCTTCGCCAGAATAATTTGAATCTGAGGACCCAGTAAGATATATGAAGAATGAGAACTTGTAATTGGTGCAAAAATAAAAACAAGAGAAGGCATCAAAAGCAAGCAGTACAAGACAACCTTAGGTTTCTGAATGAAAGAACCCCTATGATCCTCCTTGGAATCCAATGTAGATATCTTCACTTCTGTTACATCACAATATGTGAATCTAATTAGTTTCAATAATAGAGGATCTTTAGTTAATTAATATTAACAGGATGTGATCTCCTACCCTTGTTATTAACCAGTCCATCTCGTTTCAGAATCTCAGCAATTGTGATAACAGTAGGAATGGCTGCATTAAATAACACAAGTAATTGCATTAATACAGAGAAACAGAAAAGTCATCCAGTAATTGCAAGTAATCTGTTAGATTTCAACGATAGTTGAAAAGAAAAAGAAAGGAAATATGCAGAATAAGAAGGAAAAGGATTAGGGAATAGTATGTACCCATGCCCAAGGCTGAGAGTTCAACATTGTCGTTCTGCTTTATGTAACTCTGCAACACAGAATAATAAGATTAAAAAAGACCCCATTAAGAAAATTATAAAATCTGCAAATTTTCTCATTAATTTTTCATTTTAGCAAAATTAAGTATCAGGTAAACTAATAAACTAAAACGGTGTACTTGAAGCAAAACTACCACAACAAGTATAATCGCGATTAAGTCAGAAAGATTACGCCCTAAAAAACCAGAAATCAAGATTCAGAACACATTTGAAGATGGAAATCACTTGAAACATCAACAATGAATACCAAATTATTGTATTATGGAGCACCATTACAACGATCCATCTGAGCAGATGCAGATCAAAAACCAAGATTTATCAAAATTTAACTTTCAATTCTACATTTTAAGAACCTTGTTGAGGAATAATGACAAAAAATATAGCTAATAAAGAAACACAGGGAAACCACAATTTCTTGATTAAGGGAAAAACAAGAGAATGTGTAGATACCTTGGCAAGATTGAGGTAGAAAATGAAGGGTTTCTTGGTGTTGGAGACTTGAATGCGAGTGTTGTTCTTCTTCTTGATCTGACCTGAAGAGTCATTAGTAGTAAGAACATCAGCGGCAGCATTAATTACTTCGCCATTAGCAGGATCGACCAGAGCTGCCTCTTTGTTTTTAATGTTGTCGTTGTTGTTGTTTTTGTTACCCTTTTTCTTGTTTCTCTTGTTTTTTTTCTTGACTTCCTCTTTCTTGAGCTCAACATTCTCTGAAACAACCTTGGTGTTTGCCTCCATTGTTAAGACTTAAGAACTCTTTTTTTTTTTTTCTCTCCGATTCTTTCTCTTTGTAGAATGATGGGAAATAGCGGGAAATATTGTTGAGATTTTCTTGCTGAGAAGCTTATGATCGCAGGCGCCTGTATATAGAGGTGATGCCGCCAATGATGAACAAACACGTGGAGATTTCCAATTGGAGAAACTTTGTTGGCCGTTATTTGGAAGCGGGAACAGGCTTGCAAGTTGCAACCGGTAGTAGTGTTAAGTGGATAACTAATTGAGTAACAGAAATTGGTTAAATTAAGGCCCATATTAAGAGAATTTGATTGTTAAGCAGCCCAACTATTTGCTACTCCCACTGATCCAGTTGGCCATTTGAGGGGAGGCTTTGCTTCTGAATTTCTAAATCAAGCACAACTCCCCTTATGTTCTAAACCAACCCATTTGCTAGGATTTGGTCACTAATAAGGAAAGAGTAGAGACATGTTCCCACCCAAGGTTTTGCGAATCTACAAGTTCCCACCTCTGGTTTCATAAATTCTAGATTCTCACTCTTAAATCAACTCCATTAGTGAGCTTTGGGCAGTATAAAAAATGATATTACCAAACTGCCCTTGACACATAAATCAATAAATTACTTTTTATCCACCCAATTAGTATAATTGGAAAATAACCATTTTACTTTCAAATTTATTGCAATAACATCCTCTTCTTCAATTTTTTTTTTTTTTTTTTTTTGGGCTCTTCTTCAACCTTTCCTCTTCTCTGGCTGCCGCGTTGCCAAAAATTGCCTTTGACCCCACCAATACACTCACCGGCATCCCCCCACCAAAATTCTCAACCTCCCCCATCTCATTAGCCTACCGAGCGCTGTCGTCGCCAACCCCTTAGGGTTTCGCGCAATCGTCGCACCTCTCTTGCCAAATTTCGATCGATCCCGGCATTAGAAATCACCCCCATTGTCGCCAACTGGACCACCAGAACCCCCCTCCAAAAGCCCCAACTTCGATTGCTCATCGTTTTCTGTCGACCACCCTCTTAGGGTTAGGGTTTCACTTTATTGATGAAATTGGGTTTGATTTGAAGTTGATTTTGACAAGAGATTGGTTTTTTAGAGTGTTTGTGTATTTGTTAGTTGTTTACATATTTTTTCAGCCACTTTCCCTACCGACGGCCACCAAATTCCCTACCCCCAAATCGCACCAACCAATTGCTCGACCTATTTCCCCAACTAGCAACTAGCCAACCTACCACCAATACCTTGATGCACACCCACCTCCGTCGCACTTCCTTGGTCCCTGTTCAACACATGATATGTGCACTCCTACCTCGTTGACGTACTACCAACCATTAGTGTAGTCATTTGCTCAACCTGGTGTTGTGTTTCGTTTGCCAGTGGTGTTGGTGGTGTGGTGGAGTTCAAGGTGGAGAGGAAGGGTTGGGTTGTGAGAAAATTTGAGATGTGGAGGGTTTTGAAATTTTACTAATTTGGGGGAGTCAAAGAGAATAAGGTTTACTATATTTTGGACAAAAAGACATAAATACCCTTCAACTGTTACATTAAATGATTTTTTGTTAATCCAAGGGTGGGAACATGTCGCTTACTCATAAGGAAATCAGGTAAAACTTTAGAGATAGAATGGCAATATTCATTTCTTATTTGTTATTTCTTTATTTCATTTATTTTATTTTTGTATAAATGTAGAATAAAAAGAGTATAATTGAGGTTGGGTTAGGATACGCGTCCACCCACCCAACACATAAAAGAAAGAACATAGGCATCATTTAATGGTTACTTAAGACAATACACCCACCACCAATTCTCATATACATAAATATTTTGAACATACTGGACCATTCCAACAATGATTGGCAGGAGAGATTGAAATATTCGTCTACACGTGTGACGTTGCTCTGGCCTTTACTTTAATGAACACGAAACAGTATAATAATAAAAGCAATGTCTCCATTAACAACAATAATCACGCTTATTAGTTTTATTAAACTTTAATTCGGTGGGTCAATTCTAAATTCAGCTAGTAGGAGAGAGATACGGGATGATGATAATGATGATGATGGTCAATCATGTCCGATGGCATGTACATATCTAGTATATGGGACCCACACGGATGATCAAATCATTGACTTCAATTTCAAGGTTAAAGGCCTGATCAAAGGGTGGGTTCCACATAACTTGTTATGATCATCATCATACATTCATTCATTCATTTTTATTTTTATTTTTAAATTTTAATTTTATGCCCTTTACTTTCACTCTACTCACGACTGTTCACCTTACAACCTTATAATTTATAAATAGGTCTCTCGCAGCTCACAACTATACGCCCATGGCCCATGGGCCTCACTTTGCCCCCGCTCCTTGTCTCCTCTTCTTCTTCTTTTTTACTATGTCTCTCCAAATTGCCCTTAATCTACTCATTAATATTAAGCAAACCATTCTTTATTAATTCATAATTTAATTAAGCCTTTCATTGACATTATTGAAAAATATATTATCTACTTAACTTGTGTTACAAGGTCAGGTTTTTATATTGTTCTTTTTCTAAATTGATACAAGTTTATTGTTCTCTAGTATAGTGTATAATAATTTTAGCACCGGCGATCAGGGGCAGATCCAACTCCTTTTAGGTTCAGATTTAAAAAAAAAAAAAAAAAAATTATTAATATATAAGCCCACAAAAAATTGTTATTAATATATATACATAGACCCACCCTAAAATTTAAAAAATGATAACTATTATTCATATATCTAGGTCTGCAAAAAAACTTGTTATTAATATATACATTTCAAACCCACATCATATTAAAAATTCAAAACTTTCTCCACTATTTTTCTCTACGACTCCACTTGCTTTTTTTTATTTTATCTTCAAAATTATTTACTCTCTTATTCTCAGTTTCCCTTTCTCATGCTATTTGCTCTTAAAACTTTTGAAGACTGAAATTGTTGAAGCTTTCACTACTCAAGATGTTACAATTATCTTTGTTTTCTGTTTTATCAGTTTCAGGTATATGTATTGCTCATTTCAATTTAGTTTATTTTAGGGTTAAATCATACTTATTTTTTGGAGGTTTTTATTATCATTTAAGGGAAAAATACATAGATCTTGTGAGTTTACTTTATGTTTTGTATCTAAAAATGAATTTGCTTTCTCAAATTAAAACCTTAACTATATTTTAGAGAATATTATTCTTCATCTTTCACCCACCACTTTCCTATATTTCAAACGTCATCGTCCAGCTGCTCAAAATTATTAAAGAAATTTGAGTTACTATCTATGTTTATATCAAGAAAATTTCTCCTTTTTTTTTATTAATTCATATTAAAAGTCAATACATCGTTGACTTGATTTAAGTTTTGATTAACTTTATCTTAGGCTGGGTCTGATCAAATTCATGAAAATTTATATTATAATCTTTGAAACCCAAAAATAAAATAAAAAATTAAAAGAAATTTTGCTCAAGGTTTACTCAATACATTTACTTAAAATTTTGCTTCTCGTAAAATTATTCAAGCAGAAAAGTATTGTGCTATTACATTCTTTTCTCCCAGGTTCTTGATATTGTATAATTATAATAATTTTTTTTCTTAAGGTTTGGTATTTTTTAAAGTTTTCACTAGTTGTTTGACAAACAATACCGGAACCACACTTAGAAAAAAAAAATTGCGGAGCCGCAGAGCCCCCACACCACCCCCCCGAGCAAAAATAATGGATCCGCCACTGGGGGCGATGAACTTTTTTGCTTTTGAATCAATATATCTCTTTATCCTACTCTGGTTAACGACATCAGATAGTTAGTTTTGAAGTTGTGAAAGACAAATTCAGTTTGTTATTTAAAAAAAAAAATCCTGACAAATAAATTTGTACATCGGTTTACTTGTTTTTAGCATTTCAAGCTTTAAACTGAGTAGTTAGGTTTGGTTTATTGGATTATATTCTACTTTGGAAAGCATATTAACAAGAGATGCACTAATAATAAGAAAATTAAAGTTTCATTGGGTTTATCGTTTAACTAGTTATTAGAATCGTATCTGAAAACTAATATGAAAAATATTCAAATCCAAAAACATGCTTTTTTTTTTTAATGAATTGTTGGTTAGAATTGGGAGATCAACCAAAACCATTAACATGAACTAAATGCAACAAACAACACATGATTAGTGATTAATTATGGATTAGTTGCATGGTGAGTGGATAAAAAAAACATGAAACTCAAAACAAAACAAAGGTGGTAGTAGTAGTAGTAGTAGTAGTAGTTAGAACAAGTAGTAGTTCCTAGGATAGGATAGGACAAGACAACTTTTGATTCTCCAAACTAAGAATTCAACTCACCCAACTTTTGTTTTAGGTGAAGATGCATAATGTGAATTAAGAAAATAGGGTTTGGGTATTTTATTATTAAATCAATTAGAGGGTGTTAGAGCTTTATCAAAAGAGTTGAGCAGGAATAATCAAATATGGGCCCAAAGCAATAATTTGAATGGAACTTCTTCTCTTTAATTGCTTTTTGGTTAAGATATGAACATTCCTCCTTGATTAAAGTCCTATTTGAACATCTCAACTAATCTTCAAAATTATCTTCTTAATTTGATGACTAAGATTAAGACATTACTTATTAGTTTTCTCATCTTGTTAAATTCAGATTAATTAACATAATCTAAGAGTAGGTAAACATGCAACTATTGAAGTATGTCACCATTATTTTTATTTTTAAATTATGTCCACATTTATGTTAAACAGATTTCATACTGACGAAAGAACGAAGAATATTATTTTAAAAATATCCCAACATAATAGTATATATATATATATATATATTTTTTTTATAACTGAAGTGTTCGAGCAAGTTTACGCGCATCTTAATTAATCTCTTAGAATCCTGAAACTATCGACCGAGTAAGAGTTTCAGTGACTACCTTTATTAGCAACTGATGAGGGATTTAAACTCATGACCTCTTGAGTAATACACCCAATAGTTTCTATCAAACCATTCGACCATCTAGAGATAGTTTATAATAATATATTTTTTTATTACTCTGTATATCCTTTGTTGGTTTTTAGTAAATTGAAGGGTATATTTAGTATTAAAATTTGAAGTTTAATTCATAATGAATGAACTTCCCAAGAAAGAATATAAAAGCAAATCACATTTGCCGCCTTAATTAGAAAACTAAAAAAAAAAAAAAGAAAAAAGAGATAAAGTGTAAGATGAAATCTTAGGACAAGATTCGAAAATTTTCAAATCTCAAATTTACTCCGTGAAGTAACGCCGTTAACACCGACGGGAAACAAGCACGGAACACTTGTATAAAAACTAAGCTATTACTATGTAAATTTAATATATTTGGCCCACCCTAAAAAAAATATTAATGGACAAAAATAGTAATGTATAACAAATTTTATTTTGGCCCACCCTAAAAGAATTCCTGGATCCGCTCCTGAGCCCAAATTGCCCTTAATCTACTCATTAATATTAAGCAAACCATTCTTTATTAATTCATAATTTAATTAAGCCTTTCATTGACATTATTGAAAAATATATTATCTACTTAACTTGTGTTACAAGGTTAGGTTTTTATATTGTTCTTATTCTAAATTGATACAAGTTTATTGTTCTCTAGCATAGTGTATAATAATTTTAGCACAAGCAATCAGGGGCGGATCCAGCTACTTTAAGGGTTAGATTTAAAAAAAAAAATTATTAATACATAGGCCCACAAAAAATTGTTATTAATATCTATACACAGACTCACCCTAAAATTTAAAAAATGATAACTATTATTCATATATCTGGGTTTGCAAAAAACTTGTTGTTAATATATACATTTCAAGTCTACATCATATTAAAAATTCAAAACTTTCTCCACTCTTTTTCTCTACGACTCCACCTGCTTTTCTTTATTTTATCTCCAAAATTCTTTATTCTCTTATTCTCAGTTTCCCTTTCTCATGCTATTTACCCTTAGAACTTTTGAATAATGAAATTGTTAAAGCTTTCACTACTCAAGGTGTCACAATTATCTTCGTTTTCTGTTTTATTCGTTTTAGGTATATGTATCGCTCATTTCAATTTAGTTTTTTTTAGGGTTAAATCATACATTTTTTTGGAGGTTTTTATTATAATTTAAGGGAAAAAGAAATAGATCTTGTGAGTTTATTTTGTGTTTTGTATCTAAGAATGAATCTGTTTTTCCAAATTAAAACTTTAACTATATTTTAAAGGACATTATTTTTCATCCTTCACCCACCACTTTCCTCTCTTTCAAACATCACCATTCAGCTGCTCAAAATTATTAAAGAAATTTGAGTTACTATCTATTTTTATATTAAAAAAATTTCCTTTTTTTTTATTAATTCATATTAAAAGTCAATGCAACGTTGACTTAATTTAAGTTTTGATTGACTTTAGCTTAGGTTAGGTCTAATCAAATTTATGAAAATTTATATTATAATCTTTGGAACCCAAAAATAAAAAAAATTAAAAGAAATTTTGATCAAGGTTTATCCAACACATTTACTCAAAATTTTGCTTCTCGTAAAATTATTCAAGCAGGAAAGTATTGTGCTATTACATTATTTTCTCTTAAGGTCTTGATATTGTATAATAATTATTATTTTTTCTTAAGGTTTGGTAGTTTTTAAAGTTTTCACTAGTTGTTTGACAAACAATAGCGGAGCCGCACTTAGAAAAAAAAAATAGCGAAGCTGCAGAGGCCCCCTAGCAAAAATCCTAGATCCGCCATTGCAGGCGATGAACTTTTTTGCTTCTGAATCAATATTTATCTCTTTATCCTACTATGGTTGAAGTTGTGAAAGACAAATTCAGTTTGTTATTTAAAAAAAAAAAAAAAAATATCTTGACAAATAAATTTGTACATCGTTTTACTCCTTTTTAGCATTTTAAGCTTTAAACTAAGTAGTTAGGCTTGGTTTATTGGATTATACTCTACTTTTAGAAAGCATATTAGCAACAAACACGCCAATAATAAGAAAAATAAAGTTTCATTAGGTTTATCGTTCAAATAGTTATTAGAATCGTATCTGAAAACTGATATGAAAAATATTCAAATCCAAAAACATGTTTTTTTTTTTTATTTTTTTTTTTATGAATTGTTGGTTAGAATTTGGAGATCAACCAAAACCATTAACATGAACTAAATGCAACAAACAACACATGATTAGTGATTAATTATGGATTAGTTGCATGGTGAGTGGATAAAAAAAACATGAAACTCAAAACAAAACAAAGGTGGTAGTAGTAGTAGTAGTAGTAGTAGTTAGAACAAGAAGTAGTTCCTAGGCTAGGATAGGACAAGACAACTTTTGATTCTCCAAACTAAGAATTCAACTCACCCAACTTTTGTTTTAGGTGAAGATGCATAATGTGAATTAAGAAAATAGGGTTTGGGTATTTTATTATTAAATCACTTAGAGGGTGTTAGGGCTTTATCAAAAGGGTTAAGCAGGAATAATCAAAGATGGGCCCAAAGCAATAATTTGAATGCAACTTCTTCTCTTTAATTGCTTTTTGGTTAAGATATGAACATAACTCCTTGATTAAATCCCCATTTGAACACTTCAACTAATCTTCAAAATTATCTTCTTAATTTGATGACTAAGATTAAGACATGACTTATTAGTTAACTCATCTTGTTAAATTAAGATTAATTAACATAATCTAAGAGTAGGTAAACATGCAACTATTGAAGTATGTCGCCATTATTTTTATTTTTAAATTATGTTCACAATAGTTACTTCTAAAATATACAAAATTTGATTTGTTTACAAAAAAGTAAGATTTATGTTAAACAGATTTCATACTGACGAAAGAACGAAGAATACTATTTTAAAAACATCCCAACATAATAGTATATACAGTGGCGGATCCAGCCACTTTTTGGGTGGGCTATGGCCCATCTTCAAAATTTTTTTTTTAAATATTAATATGTAAATTTATATATTTTGGCCCACCCTAAAAAAAATATTAATGGACAAAAATAGTAATGTATAACAAATTTTTATTTTGGCCCACCCTAAAAGAAATTCCTGGATCCGCTACTGAGTATATATATTTTTTTTATAACTGGAGTGTTCGAGTAAGCTTACGTACACTTCAACTAATCTCTTGGAATCCTGAAACTACTGGTCGGGTAAGAGTTTCAGTGACTACCTCTATTAGCAACCGATGAAGGATTTGAACTTAGGACATTTTTAGTAATACATTCAATAGTCCCTATCAAACCATTTGGTCATCCAGAGATAGTTTATAATAATTTTTTTTTTATTACTCTATATATCCTTTGTTTAAAAAAGATAAAAGAAAATTATAATCAGAGCATGGTTTTTAGTAAATTGAAGGGTATATTTAGTATTAAAATTTGAAGTTTAATTCATAATAAATGAACTACCCAAGAAAGAATATAAAAGCAAATCACATTTGCCGCCTTAATTAGAAAACTAAAAAAAAAAAAAAGAAAAAAGAGATAAAGTGTAAGATGAAATCTTAGGACAAGATTCGAAAATTTTCAAATCTCAAATTTACTCCGTGAAGTAACGCCGTTAACACCGACGGGAAACAAGCACGGAACACTTGTATAAAAACTAAGCGATAGTGTGTAACAGAAACAACAAACTCACAGACAAAAACAACACAGCTCCATTGCCATAATCCACTTCTGCTTTCTTCACAGATCCGACGCAAACCGTGAGTAATTTTCCTTATTTTTGCCATTCTCTATCTCTCTTTTCTAACTCTTGATCTGTTTATCATTTCCTGCGTGTAATGTACCTTTAATCTTTCCTGCATTCCTTTCGCAACCGATCTGTTAATGTTGTTTGTTTGCTTCTGGGATTTGTTTTTTGCCTTCAAATTATTTTGCTTTTTTTTATTTCTTATCATCGGAAGCTTTGTTTTGTTGATGGGAAATTTTTTGAAAATTTGATACTGTTTTAGCTTTGTTAAGGTCAAGTTTCAAGCTTGATATTACATTCGTAGGAGTCAGAAATTTCATCTTTTTTAAATGTTTTCTGCAGTATTGTAAGTGAAGATATCCTGGGTCAGAATGGGAATCAGTTTTCATTTTTTGGAGTCGTAGTTTTGAATTTTGATGCTTTTATTTATTTATTTTTTAAAGTGGGATTTTTCTTTTGCTTTTTATGTGTTTTCAGATAAATAAGTGAGCTCTTAGCATGGTACATGTTTGTTTATGAGTTCAAGCTCAGGATGTGTCAATTCCTTATTGCACAAAATTTTATAATTAAACGTGACCAACTAAAGATTGGGTGGTTTCTAAACGTGACCAACTAAAGATTGGGTGGTTTGAATTTTGAATCAATTCTGTAGTTGGTGATGTCTCCTTATTTTTAAATATATACTCAGGAAAGTTTTGCTTCATTTTTAATACCGTTTCTTAATTTTGGTTGTGTCTTTCTTTTTTCTTCATTGGAACTAAACTCGATTTCTTCTTGTTTGACTTTGTCCCCACATAGTTAATATATTGCTTTTTAGATTATAATCTGGTTGTTTGGTTGGAATTTTATCATGATTATTGGTTTGAACAGACTCACTTCTCTAATTATTCTTCTGATTTATTCTCCTTTATCTGTCTTGACCTTCCGGTTTTCCGAAGGAAAATGATTCTGTTTGCTGCTGCTTTTTTCTTCTAGAATCAACAAAATGTTTTTCAAGCCTGTTAAAGCCTTTATGGTTCATTTCCTTAATATTTTCTCTTTTCCACATTGCCTTTTTGTTCGGTCAAGCTTGAATATCTTTTATTAGTGCGGTGTAACCTACTACTGCCTTCAGCAAAATCATTATGATGTTTAGTTGCCACTAAAATGAGTTTTACTTAGTGATTCCTTTTGTAATTATAATGAAGTGTTGTTCTGGAAAAGAGAAACCATTTGGTACATAGCTGCAAGGGCCCAGGATATAATTCAATGAATTTTTGCAAACTTGACATTTATTCGCTACTAGTAATTGATAAAAGATACCAAAAAATATTCTCTTTGCCTGGTAAAATATGATAATTGCAATTACTCTTATTTTGAATTAGAAGTCAGTTTCCATATGTTTCTATCATATCTGCCACCTTATTATTAAAACCAATTCTGTGAGCACCCCAAAGACTTAATTCTTTCTCATAGGAAACACATGGCTCTCCACAATAGTAATTAAGGAAATTTATTGTTCTCCCTTGGTTTTTTGTTTCTGAAGTTTCATATTTGGATGTTCTGCTTAATTTCTTGTTGCCTTTGATCTGAAGTAATTTGTTGTTTTATTCAGTTTATAAGGTCATAGTGATATCAGAATTTAATGAATAATACCATCATAACCTTAAGCGTTTTACATCCACAACACCCATACCCAATACGCATGTTTAGTAGTGGCTCTAAAATTAACGCTGTGAATTCCTCTTTCTTGTTCATTTTGTTCTTCAACTAAAGTTTGGTGCTGGCTCTAGCTAAAGTTTTATGTCCTCCAGTGTGGAAGGGCTTAGTTAAACCCTTAGGACAATAGACTTCGTCATGAAGGCTTTCTCTAGTCTTGCTTAAACAAAAAATGTAATGAGCTGTTGTGGCATTTCTTTGTCCTCCTTTGCGGTAATACCCTACTTCTACATTGTGTCTCTTGTTGTTTAAGCTTATAAATATGAACTGGCTTCTATAAATAGTTATTTTTTCTCCTTTTACTGGTTTTTGTTTCGGCAATAGATGACATAAACATATAAGATAGTGAGTTCAGAAGGATTTTATCAAATACTATTGAGCTCAAGTATTTGTGATACTATGATTACTACTTATAAGAGTATGCTTAGTTATTCTTTTTCCTCATTGCCTTGAAAATAGAGGTTGTCTTGCATTAGCATGATATTGGACCATCTAAAATGGCCATGATTCGAGAGATGGTTACCGTACATTTGGTACAGAGATCATTTGTGACTGCTGAAAATGTTCCAAATTTGATATAACTTTGACATCTAAATTTCTTTGTTGCAGTGCAATGGGGATAGAAGTTACCGATGTTTGTATGGACAAGGAAGCTGATTGTGTCATAGTTTATTCAAATGGTGTTTCCCATGATTCTGATCATGAAACAATTCCCAATCATCATGATGGTGTGGGCTCATATGGTGATGGGAATCCTGAACAACAGGGTGTGGAAGAGAGCACTGAAGTAAAAGAATATGAAGTGAAGGTGTGTACTACTGAAACCTCAATTGAAATATGTGGACTTAATCATATGGAAAAAAATAAGGAGGAGCAGAACATAGCAAACTCAAATCTGGAGGCTGGCTTGCCAGAGGAGAAGGTCAAACCAAAAAATCTGAAAACAAAGGAAAATAATAAGTCACAGGTAGCTGTGAAACATGCATCAAAAGCCACTTCCGGAAATATTCAGACGAAACACACTATTCCAAAGCCATTTTCCCTGGCAACCGAAAAGCGCGCTTCCAATGGAGCTCGTCCTTCTGTGGCTGAACCGTATGCTGCCACTGCTGTGAATAAATCATCTAATGCGAATGGTGTGCGTAATCCAAACACAAAAAAGAAGAATCAGGTGCTTTCCTTTAATAAATAATCTCTTCTGGCAACTGTAACACTGATGTTAACTGATTATTAATTAGATTGGTTTTCTGAACTTGATGCTTGTTCTCTCAAGATAACCAATTGTGGTAAAGTTAAAAACTTGACTAACAAAGCAAAATGAATCTCATGGCAGTGCTATGAGCAACTTGTATTTGCTGTCTAATTGTAAAATTTTTCATTTGGTTAAAAGTTGTATAAACTCTTACTTGAAATCATAGAGTTGACAAATTCAGGATGATGTAGTTGTTTATAACTGACCTATTAGCTTTGTTTGTTTGGTTGCAGCCACCTATGGTGCCGAGGATACCATTGCAACCCAAGAACAAGAAGCATCCCGATGAGGAAGATTCTTGTTCTGTAGCTTCCTCGTATCCTTTTGCCCCCGGGAATTTTAGTTTGATATCTTATTCTTCTATACATTCTTCTTCTTTCTATTGCCTCTCCACTCTCTCTCTTTTCAAAATTGATCTTATCTCTTGACTATGCATAGCACTGCAGCATCTACACGGACTATTAAGTCCAGGATGACTGTTGCAGCAGCTCCTGTGTTTAGATGTACAGAACGTGCTGAGAAACGGAAGGAGGTACTGACTTTATGAATATATTCCGTGTGAAGTTTATACTTTGATTTTTCATATGTAATGTGTTTTATCTATTATGTTGCATTTTTCAGTTTTATTCAAAATTAGAGGAGAAACACCAGGCAATGGAAGCTGAGAAAAGCCAAAGTGAAGCAAGGACCAAGGTATGGCTCTCATGTAAATTAGGATAGTTAGAAATCTCTCTTTCTCATGATTTTTAATGGAAATTAATTATCTTGCAATTCTTACTTTGTCTTCACACTATTAGTTATGTTGGCTGCTTTGAGTCAGATGATTCTGACCCATCTTGTTACTTTGTCCTTCTTGCAAATCTTAATATTTGAAGGAAGAGGGAGAGGCAGCTATCAAGCAATTCAGAAAGAGTTTAACGTTTAAGGCGAACCCAATGCCAAGCTTCTACCATGAGGGACCACCACCAAAAGCTGAACTGAAAAAGGTAATGCATGGATTTGTTTGGTTCTTTTTGTCATAAAAAAGTCTAGGATTCTAAGAGGCTATTCAAACCACTTTATCCTCAAAGCTGTTGAGAAAATTGGACTTATTTACTGATGAACAGAAGTAAAAAAGGATACGTGTAGGGTTCATCTATTAGAAATTTATTTTCTCCTATATTTATTAGCTTAAATTGTATTTTGTTGCTCTGGATGTATGCCAGATGCCACCAACTCGTGCAAAATCACCGAAGCTAGGACGAAGAAAGAGCTGTAGTGATGCTGTCAGTTCAAATCAAGGAGACAAAGTGAAAGGAGCTTGCCGTCCGGTAAATCGTCACAGTGTTGGTGAATACTTCGAAGAGACCAACAGTGTTGGTTTCACAAATGGAAAGGATTTAAGTGACATCCAGAATGGTCATTCCAATTATGAACTCGATGAAATTAATCATGTGGAAGAGATAATTCTGCCCTTGGTAAATGGGCATAGTAATGCAAACATTGTTGATGCCCAGTCTTAAATTTCTGGTGAGAGGTCTTTATTTTCTCTTGTTTTCTTGTGACTGCTCTGAAGAATGTGCATTTTACTGTGTTTAAGTTGCAAGGACTTGTTGCATTGTTTGTGTAATTATGAAGTGTAAATTTTCTGTAACTTATATCAATTTATATATAAAGAGTCTATTTTGCAGTAAGCATTGTTACTTCTCTTTGTACTTCTGTCTTATATTTGAATAATCTCACTGCTAGAGGAAACCTATCTCAGTTTAATTCTATATTTTGAATGCATGGAAAAATATTGCACAGGTTTTTTCTTCCTCTTGCTTTCTTATGACCTTGTCCACATATTGATTTTAGGCTGAGTTTGAAAATGATATATGATTGAGAAGTGGTTGTCTGGATAGAAACAGCCTAGGACCATAATGATATGTTTGGGACTCATCTGATGCAGTGATGTTATCCAAAACGGTACTTCTATCATTGGTACCAAAATGTTTGAAAGCCATGAAGATTGTGTACTGATTGGTCGGTTTGTATGTTAGTGTGCAACAAGTATTTTTTGGGCTGTTTGGTTACTTTGTCCACAGAGGAGGTATAAAGTAAGAGACAGAGGAGCCCACTAATTGTGGTTTATTATGGTGGAAATTGTGCTTTGATGGAATATAATCACTGTTTTCAATGTCTATGGTTAGCTGCTTAAAAGAAAGCTCTTAAAGCAAAAGAAAAAGATGCTGGTAGAGCGTAAAGAACTTATTGTTGCGCTACATTAGTGGTTAAACAGCAAAAGATAACTTTTGGGCAGACCATGTCTCAATTTTACAAACAAAATTTGTTAGTCAAAAGGATTCTGGCTTTAGATTGGGCTCTCCTTAGAGCTCTTGTGTTTTCAATGCATGTCTCTAATCTTTGATTCTTTACATTTGTATTACCACTCGGTTCTCTATCCGAGAATAGTTTAGACTTTGACTGTTGATGCATACATTTAAGCCTTAAGGGTCTCCAAGTTCTAAATTTTAGTCCTTCACAGTCTATGGCTGCAGTAGTCTACAGATAAAAGGCCTTGTTTATCCTTTTAGAATGAGCATATCGATCTACCAATGTAGTATTTGGAAGAAATCTATGCAAATTGGCTGGTTAAGTCAGTTTTCCAAAACGACTGAATCCTCTTCAGCTACTTCAGAGATGCTTAGTTGATCCCAAGACTCAAATGCTTTTAGAAATAAGCAAAATGATTTGGTTAGCTGCTTTAAATCAATCATAAGTTCTACCAGGTCCACCATAAGTTGAGTAAGGCTGAAGATACATCATACATCCAATATGCTTGTACTGAAAATGAAGTAGAATTCTTGACCCAGTTTTAATCATTGTTCCACACTGTCTAAGCAAGAAGAAAAGAACAATATTTACTCAACCCCCTTTGTGTAATTGAATTCTTCACCTGTTTCAAGACATATAGACAACATGCACACTATGAAGAAGGTACCTACCAAATCATATAAGATTCAATTAACACAATCGCATTTATTTGATAGGAACATTTTTTTTCTTTAAACTTTATATCAATGTTGGGTATGATAAAGCTGTAACAGGCCAACCTGTATATCTTTCCATATAAGCTAGGAATCAGACCATTTGGGGTTAATGTCTCTCATTGATGAAGCTTGTCACACCTCTCACTTCTCCCCTTTTTTTTTTTTCACAAGTGGGAAGCAAAAAGAGACACCCTTTAAACTTATTGCTACTTTCATTTTTTTTAGCACTAATCCTGTAATAAACATCAATTTCTCCAAGCAATTATCATGTCATAAACTCTTTGATAAGATTGTTTCATCATACCAGGGGCATTAGCAAAGGCACGTGTCCTTGTTTTGTTTGATGAATGTAAGGAGATCAGCCAGCAGGTAATACTCAAAGAGAGAGCTTTAATTTTAATTAGTTACTAAAAGAAGCTCTTGCTTTCACCCTCAGTATTGCACCAGTCTTCTTACGTTTCAACTCTTTTTATAGTTTTCAATCTAAAGCAATGATCAATTAATTATAATTCTTGATACCATTTTTTTCACCAGACGGCATTAGCAATGGCATCTGTCCTTCTTTAATGATTTTTCATGAATCATAAACATATATAGATTAATGAGAGAAAGTTACATGAGAGAAAGTTAGCTGAAAGAAGCTCTTGCTTTCGCCTCCAGAAATTGCACCAATTTTCTTACGTTTTAACCCATATTTATTGCTGACAAATGGTCTTCACTTTTCCTCTACCAAAACTATAAGTTAATTAGCTAAAGTGTGTATGGTTGGACACTATATTAGAAGCCTAAAAGATTTGGTAAAAATGATATAAATATAAACTCAACCAAAATACAATATACAGGTAGACTGAATCAGATTCATACTTTGAGTTGTTGTGTAAAGCTAATTAGCTAGCACAATGGGAAAAACTGTAGAAAATGGAAGTCTGTGTCATCTGACCCACGTAATCATACTCAACTCACCCTCGCATATATAAGGGCCCTTCAAAAACAATGCATGGCCAAATCAATATCTCACACGAAGTCTTCTCTCTCAATCTATTTCTCTCTCTTTTTTCTCCATCTTAAACAGTTGAGGGGAATGCTGTCTGGTTCGAGACCATTCATCATCTGAATGATCTCGGACCAGGCTTCATTCCCCCCAACGTAACTCATCAAATCTCTGATAAAAGCTACCCCTTCCTGCATGTATAGATATATATATCTCATCAAATGGCTTGATATTCTCCATCCAATAAGGTGTTTGATATTCTTACAATTACCAGCATGTTTTGAATTATATATATATTTTTATGTTTTTCGCATCAACCCATAGTTTGTTTTTCTTTGTATTTGCAGGTGAAGGTGTGGCTTGAAGAGAATAAGGATACATGTTACTCGATTAATTAAAGAAAAACTCATTGGAATCTGAAATCAGGTATATATATATGTGTGTGTGTTATCTTCTAACTTCACATTAACGGCAAATTCACTTTTGATGTTCAGTACTCTAGAAACTACAATGTAGTTTTAATTGATTCTGTTCAGTTATGTTCTTCATAACCGAAATTAATCAAAACACCTTGGTTTCTACAAGGAAATTCTAGGCTAAGAGATCAGGCATTCATCTTCATATATATGGAAATGGAAGAAGTGTAGATTGTTGTTACCATATTGATTATATAATTTATCTTGTTCATTACATAGGGCGAACAAATTCATGCAAGATGCCACGAGATCAGTGTAAGCATAATAAATAGAAATTAACTACGAGCAGTTCAAGCGTTGAAGATTTCTATATACTTTTTGATGATTAGATAATGGAGCATTAACAAACCATTGACAAATGTTCTGGTTAAGAGTACAAAGACAATATTATTAGTTTGAACGTTCTGCACTTTGCTGTCTTCGGTTTTACCAAATTCGTTGAAAAACAGATGATGGCCTTGTTCTGAGTGTGAAAATCTGACTGAAAAGGGAAAGAAAAACAAAAACAAAGTAGTATGTTGTGTGTTTTTCTATCTTTTGGGCGGTTGAAATTGGGTTTGCTTGTGGAGAGTTGCAAAGAATATAAGCCAAAGGAAAACTTTCACTTTAGTTGCATCATGCATGGCATGAGATCAGATTCAGAAGAAGTACACCATACATACCCCATATCAGAAGTCTTAAGGTTTGAATTGAATTGGTTTTAATGCCTCTTTTTTTTTCTTTTTCTGCCTAAGACTGCCATCATAACCACCTCCTTAGTCTTGGCCAATTCTTCACCTTTTAACGCCATGTGGGTCAGATTCTTCCCCCAATATCTGCATGAAAATCCCTATTTTGCTAGTTCATCCCACACTCATTACCTTTCACATCTTCGTCAGCCAGTCAATATTTTTATATTTTATATACATTTCTCCATGCATTATTTCAAATTGCTTCTAGCTGTTTACCATTACAAAATTAATGCATTCACATGTAATTTCCAAATAGTTGAACGTCTACTTCTTTCTAAACTTATGTAAATATAATATGCTTTTGATTATGTAGATGGGAAATCTTCCTTTGTTTGGTTTGGGTTTGCCGCTTATAATGTTAGATGAGTAGCATCCAGCTGGGTATTGGAGAAATAATTAATGAATAGGTATAAATAGTTAATCAAGGTGGTCCAAATACAAAAATAATTTGATGGGATGGGAATATGATCAATTTTTAATCTAAGTGTGTTAAACATGATATTAGAGTGAAATAGTGGGGATTTTTGTGCATAAGGTCAATGGGGAAAACTTGGTCGGGCCCTTGTTTGACCTAAAAAGATTGATATAATCTTCTTCTTTTTTTTATGTCTAGGGTCCGAACCCATTGAAAACCCTACAAACCCCGTGTTTCAAGTAAGCCACAAATATGGTAGGTGATCGCAAGGTGATTCGAACCCAAGAAGTCAATAAAAAGAGTAAACCTTCTTGACCGTCAGACCAACCCCTTGAGGTTAATATAATCTTCTCAGTTACATTCCGTATGTTTTATGTACCAACTCTTCATTCAATGTATTTCTATTCAATATTTTATACGTAATTCCAAGTTTTAAACAGATTTGGAATGTGTATCTATCATATAGCAATGAAACAAATGAAACTTTTCCATAGATTTTTGAAACCATAATATATCCGTACATTATTAATGATAAGATAGAAATGAAAATTGTATTCGGTTGAGGGGATACCAAATAATAGTACAAAGGTGTAGTGTATTGGTGAGAGATGTTCCATGGAGTCAAAAGAGAAGAGCGACATCTTGAGTATGTGTGACAAAAAGTGATTCCTATGCTCGATAAAGCCATCTTGAAATTTTCTCCATTTTAGTTAGTAGAGATTTTGATTCCTCCTCTCCCCTTATTACTTTTTTTTAAATTTCTCTAAAGCATTCAACACCACACCTTCTAAAAACTTCCTTTTTCTCCATTCTTTTCTTTATTTGTACACAATTATTTACCAATCAAACCACATCATGCTTTTTGCCTAACACCAGCTTGGGCTTTGTCATGATAAGTCCAAGTTGAAAGCCCAAATATTAAGGCCTATGGACTCAAACTCAAGCCCAACAACAATCTGGATGATGTCTAATTGTCCATTAATGAATTACTGCTGGTAGTTGAACCGAATTTTGTACCATGAAAAAAAAAAAAAAAAAAATACTGCTGGTGGTGATCATGGGTTGGAAGGCGCGACTAGTGGTGGCCGTCGTTTGGAAGGCGGGGCCGCTGGTGTCTAGCAAGGCTGGTGGTGATCATGGGTTGAAAGGCGTCGTTGGTGGTGGTCATCATTTGGAAGGCAGGGCTTCTGGTGGTCGTCGTTTGGAAGGCCCGGTTGTCGTGTGGCAGTCAGCTAGAAGGAGCGGCTGGTGTGGTGGTTAGGGTTTCAAATTTTGACAGAGAGAGATTTGTTTAAGGCAATTAAAAATTTTGATGGTAAGGGTTTGTAAAATTTGAGAGGGAATTTGATTTAGGGTCATCCACAAATTTGAAATTCTATTTTATTTTTTTAAAATTTTTAGGGCATTAAGTAACATGACCCATCAATAACGCTAGAGATACAAAAAAAATTTACAATGCGCAGAAACTGAAAGAAAGAGTGAATACAAAAAGTCAAATTCTTCATATTCACTCTTTCATTCATTTTTTGTTATATCATTTTATACAGAAATCTCATGACTCATATGCCACATAGCATTGACATGACATGTCATGTTACTTTGTACAAACTCTAAGAGAGTTCGTGCGTATAGTCTTATTAATTTATGTTACACTTCCAAAAAAAATCTTACAAAGATCTTCATACGATGTGATATGACAAAAAATAAATGAAAGAGTGAATATAATGAGTTTGACTTTTTGTTTCATTCTTCATTCATTTTCTACCACTTCACTTTATATGAAAATGTTTGTAAGATTTTTTGTAATATAGTATTATTGTTAATAAATTACTACTGGTAGTTGAACCAAATTTGTACCATGAAGTATATACAATCATACACTTAGACCTGGTAAACGGGCGGGCTAGGCTGGGTAGACACAGGTAAAACGGGCACAAGTCGAATTTTTCTATGGGTCAAGATATGCATGACCCGTACCTACTCGTGCGGGTACGGGTCGACCCATGGGTCACCCACATATAATGGCATTTTATGTATTTTTTTATTTTTTTATTTTTTGCAGGTTTTTGTTATTTTTTCACTGTTTTTTGTTGTTCAAATTGCATACCTGAAGATGTAAATTGTATTGATTTAAAAACTTGGTATAAAATTCTTTTATTAAGCTTTCATAACTTGGTTAATTTGATTAAATAAATGGATGATTAAATTAAATTTGATTAGATTTTCATCAAACATCATTAATTCATTATCAATATTTTTCATATTTATATCAAACTTCACCATATAGAATTAGTAAGCACTAAACACTAAGCATACATAGTAATTACTAATTAGTAAACACTACACATATAGAATTAGTAAATAATGGTCAAAACTCAATGCTCACAGTCCAAATAATGGTAGTTAAATGTATTGTCTTGTTTGCCTAAATCGTTTGCCAACTTGGTGAAAGCGTTTACCTCTGAAAGTGACTATTGTTGTTGAGAGTTAAGCGACGTCGGAGTGAGATAGAATGAGAGTGAGAGGAAAGCAAAAGCTATTTCATCGTCGGCCTTGGTTTGGGAGCTACCGTTCATCGACGTGACAAGGTGAGAGAGTTCAGACTGAGCTAAGATTCGCGTCGGAGCAAAATGAGAGTGAGAGGAGAGCTACAGCTGCTGTTATTTTGTCAACGACGGCCTAGGTTTGGGAGCTGTCGTTCGTCAGTGTGAGTGAGCTCAAGAGAGTTGAGAGTCGCGTCGGAGCAGAATGACAGTGAGAGGAGAGCTGCAGTTGCTACTGTTTCGTCGATGGCGACCTGGGTTTGGGAGCTTCCGTTCATCGGCATGAGTGAGTGTGAGAGAGTTGAGATTGAGCTAAGAGTCGCATCAAAGCAGAATGACAATGAGAGGAGAGCTGCAACTGCTACTGTTTCGTCGGCGACGACCTAGGTTTGGGAGCTATCGTTCATTGGCGAGATTGAGTTGTGACTGTGGCTGTGTGAGTGAGCTGTGACTGTGGCTGCGTGAGTGAGCTGTGAGTGGTGTGCTGCGTGAGAGAGTTGAGTGTGTAGTCTGACTTAGTTGCGTTTAGCTTTAGGGTTTGTTAATAAATTATATTTAAATTTTTATTTTTTTTTAATTCAATTGCGGGTACCCGCGGCTATTACCAAACCCACTCGTAAATTTCACGGGTGGGCCAAGTACGGATAGTTGTGAAACGAGCATTTTAGAGGGATACTCGTACTCATCTGTTAGGTGCGGGTACCTGTTTACCCCCACGTCTGAGCCTTTTTTGCCAGGTCTATATACAGTGCCGTTATTATTTGTTAACTCCGTAGTAGGACATATTCTAATATATTTATTACTAATATAAAATAAACAACAAAGCAACAGACACCGAAAAATTTGCACTGAAAATGTGTACCGGCCTACGTGTACCAGGCGCCTGAATTTTTTAACAATTTTTTTCTAGTGAACAGTCCTCCATCAAATATGGACGGCCGTTCACTCACATGGACTCCCGTCCATATTATATGGACGGGGGTCCATATACCAGGGATGGGCGTCCCCATTTAAAGGACACCCGTCCATAAATAAAATACAATAAAACAATTTTATAAACATTAGGGATGGCCGTCCCTTACGTTTGGACTGGCGTCCGTAATAAATGGACGCCCGTCCCTTACGTCCTTGACCCAAATATGTGAAAAAAAAAAAACTTTAGGGACGCCCGGCCGTCCCTTACTTTTTGACGGGCGTCCATAAGAAATAGACGCCAGTCCATTATTTTGCTTTTACAAATCAAGAAAGAAACTCTTTGGACGGCCGTCCTTTCATTGTGGACGGGCATCCGTAAGTAATGGACGCCCGTCCATAGTTTATGGACACACGTCCATAGTTTAGGGTTGGACGCCCGTCCAAAAGTAATTATTTAAAAAAAAAAATTAAAACACTGGATGGCCGTCCATAAATGGTGGACGGCCGTCCCTTCATTGTGGACGGGCGTCCATAAGTAATGGACGCTTGTCATTCTTTATGGACGGCCGTCCGTAAGGGTTGGGCGGCCATCCCTTATGTAAAGGACGGCCGTCCCACCCTTATGGACGCCCGTCCATAAACTTAAGGACGCTCGTCCTTTAATGTAATTAAAATTTAAAAAAAAAAAATTAAATGTTTTTTTAATAAATTTTTTTTGTTTATTGCGAATAACATTAGCTTCTCCAATATGCTTCTCCAACAACAAGCGCCAAAATTCTTCGAGCGAAAGAAAACCAGCGCCAAAATTCGTCGTCCCCTTTTGCTTCATCGTTGCGGTCTGTTCTTCGCCTCTGTGTTGCGTCTGCATTCCTCAGCCATTTCTTCCTGCAACAAACGTTTTTTCCTCATTTTCCAGCTACCGTGTGAAGAACGAAAGCTATAAACTTTTCATCAAACCATTTTTTACAGTGGAAAAGGAGATTAGAAAGATTTGTCCAGGTTATTAACCGATTTTTATATAATTTATTCATTTATTTAGTTTTTTACAGTGGAAAGGGAGATTAGAAATTTGTCTAGGTTGTTAACCGATTTGTATATAACTTATGCATTTATTTAGTTTTGTATTATATTTTGGATTGAATATATGTTACAATAGAAAAAAACTGATAGAGAAAATTTGTTGGTGATTGTTATGAATCAGATTTCGTGAACGTGAACACTAGTATTGGATTTGCATTAAATTATAGAATATGGAAGAGTCTAGTTTGCCTCATTTCAATGATGTTGAGGTAAATTGTGCTCGAAACCTTAACTTTTTCGTTAACATGATTTTAAATTTATTGTATCGTATTGTTTATTTTGATGTGTTGTATTAGTACATTCTAATTTTATGTATTATAAAACTATTAAATTAGGAAAATGAACGTGATGAATTAGAAGATATGGGATATGCAGAGGAAGAAGTAGAGCCTCATATTGGAATGGTGTTTGATTCAGTTGATAGTCTGGTGAAGTATTACAAACGGTATGGTAACAAAATGGGATTTGAAGCAATGA